GGCAGGTACACGCGACCTTTATTAGCCAACTATCGAACCCCTTGAACATTCTTTTTTTGCGCGCGTGGAGACGCCATGTGTGCGGTGTGCACAGGTCATCTTTTGCAGGTATGAAACTCCGCGAATTCAAGAGGCCAAAAAAAGGGAAACCGTGTCCTTCTTTTGTCCTCCTCTTGTCCTCTTGGCGCGCCGGGCTCTGTGTCCAGGTCTTGCCCTCCTGTTGTCCTTCTCTTGGCCTCTGTCAACTCTGCGGGGCTGCGTGGGCTCTGTGGGCTCTGTGGCTCGCAGACAGAGACAGAGACAGACAGAGACAGAGACAGCGACAGAGACAGTGACAGAGAGAGACAGTGACAGAGAGAGACTGTGACAGAGAGACAGAGAGACAGAGAGACAGACAGACAGGGAGAGAGAGAGAGAGAGAGAGAGAGAAAGAGAGAAAGAGAGAGAAAGGAAAGAGAGCTCGTGTGCTATGGACGGCGTGTTGCGCGCGCTCTGAAATACGCTCCGGAAAGGCGCGCTCAGGGCGCGCTCTGCGCAAAGAAAGACAAAGAAAGAGAAACTTACAGAGAAAGAGAGAGAGAGAGAGAAAGACAGCGCAGCGAGCGCCCGCGCCCGCGCGCGCTCGTGTGCTATGGACAGCGCGCGCGCGCTCTGAAATACGCTCCAGAAAGGCGCGCTCACAGAGAGAGAGAGAGAGAGAGGGAGAAAGACAGACAGACAGACAGACAGACAGACAGACAGACAGAAAGAAAGAACGAAAGAACGAAAGAACGAAAGAAAGCAAGCAAGCAAGGAAGGAAGAAAGGAAGGAAGGAAGAAAGAAATAAAGAAAGAAAGCAGGGCGAGCGCGCGCTTGTGTGCTATGGACGGGCGCGCTCACGCTCCAGAAAGGCACGGTCAGAGCGCGCTGTGCAGAGAGAAAGACAGAGAAAGAAACACAGAGAGAGAGAGAGAGAGCAATGCGAGCGCACGCGTGCTCGTGTGCTATGGACGGCTTACTGGGCTCTTGTCCTCCTCTTGTCCTCTGTGCTGGGCTCTGTGGCTGGGCCTTGTCCTTTTCTTGTCCTCCTCTTGTCCTTGTTTTGGCCGCGCCCCTGAACTCTGTGGCTGGGCTCTGTGGCCCGGCTCTGTGTCCGGGTCTTGTCCTCCTCTTGTCCTTGTTTTGGCCGCGCCCCTGAACTCTGTGGCTGGTCTCTGTGGCCCGGCTTACTGGAGAGGAGTGTGGCCGAACAAATAGCGATGTCAATGCCGACAAAAATTCATTGATGAAGCAGTTTGCTCTTGGGGTGAAAGTAGGGCGTACCAAGAAATCGATTTTTGACTGATATTGGTCTAAACGAATCGTTTTGAAGCTGTTTGGGGTCTATGCTTGTATAAGTTTGTTTTTTTGCACGCGTGGGGCTGCCGTTATCGCAAGAATGCGAAGGTCAGTTGTTGCAGAGATAAAGATTTCTTGAATGAGGATCATGGAACTGGTACGACGCTTCAACACAATGAAGGAGCTCCTCTTCTCGCACAACAGGTGTGCTAGAGGTCCTACCCGACTTGGAGCAATCGAGGAGAGCGCACTGATGGAGGATCATGGAGCTGGCATGACACTTCGCACAATGAGGGAGACGCCAGTTCCTCTTCGCACGCAGGAGGTGCGCCACCGCCACAATGACATCGTGCTGCCTAAAACACTCCAGTTTCGCAGCTGGTCTGGTCGGCGATGGCCTCAGTCACCACTCTTCCTCGATCACCTTCTGGGGTCTGCTAGGTACGGGCAATGGCCTTAGTCACCGCCTGAACTGGCGAACCCAAAGCCTTGGCCAGTCACTGTTTCACCCACCTGGGCATGTGGTGCATGACAGGAACACGACAAGTTGTGAGTTGCCAGACGACGCCTCGCTGTTTTGGCGTCGGGTGTCCACATTGGTCTGGCGCTTGAAGCCCGGCCTTTACTCCTGCCTGCTGACATAAAGCCAACACCGGCTCCTTCATTGCCCGACAAAGCATCAAGGCCCACGATCTTCTCATCGGAGAGAATGTCCTGCAGAAGATCCGAGACAGGATTCTGAGAGTGGTGTCTGGTCATGACCAGAGTCAAGAGCTAAGGAAATTCTGTTCCTTTCCTTTTTTTTCGAAAGTTTCTGACTTGAATGTGAACGTCTGACCATGTGCACTTGCCTTTAATTGCAACGCCCATGCCCAGCACCTGCCCCTGATCTTAAGTGTGGTCAAGTTGACACAGCAAAGCTTGCAAACTGCATGTCCTTTGCAGTCCTTTCGTCAGGCAGTCCAAAACAAATTTTTGACAGTTCTGAGCCCCTTTGGGCTTCGTGACACCCAGAAACTCTAAAGGTGGTGTTTAATTTTGATTTGCCCTTGGAGTGGGCCTCTTTGTGTTTTGGGTTCCTCCTTATTGTGGTTTCTCAACCAGAGTGGTCTTGGAGGACCAGCGCCCACTGGTGAGCTTGGTCACTCTCAGTCTTTGAAGTTGCCATTGTTTTTGTTTGCTGTCACTGAAAGTTGACAGACAAGAACTGTTTTACAAATGTCCTCGTTTTGTTCTGTTTGTCCACGCTGGCGGCGGGCGGGTCTGTCTTCCTCCTGCTTGCAGTGGCCACGTTTGTCCTGCTTGTCCACGTGGCCCTGGTGTTTTCAAACATTTGTTGTTCAGGTGCAGTTCCCAAGAGGCTGGAGAAAAGTATGTTTGCATGCATTTCCACCAACATTGTGGATGTCCTGAAGAATGTCGGGATTTATTTCGTAGTGGGTTGTATTGACGGTTTGAACAGGTTGACCAAACGCAAAACACCAAATGTAAAGGCAGGACACATCACTAATAAAACCGGCGATGGACCAGTAATGTGAAGAAAACCTGAAAACATCGCAGCATTGATCTAAGTCTATAATGTTACATTTTTTTGTGGCCAGGATTAACGTTACTCCTGCTGAAGTGTTCAAGTCAAAGCAAATTGGAATGCACAACTTGAAAACTTTTGTTTTCCTAGTCATGAAGAAAGTAGACGTTCTCAAAAGAACAGTTCCAAATTCCCCCGGAAAAAACTGTCATTATTGAAACAGAACTTGAGGTGTTTGGCCAATGCACGTGCCAATGATACTTGAACAACCCTAGCTTCAGAAACAGAGCCAGTGTGCGTGTTCATCCGTTGTGCAACATGGCCAATGGCTGCACCTCGACGGCACTTGGTCCTAAAGCACCGCCGAACATCGGAACATGGGTGGATGATGGATGATCAGAGTTTCTCTCAGATTGCCTCAGATCAGACGTGGTTTGAAGGTCGAAGATAGATGTAGTTGAACGGACCTGTTTGGGGGGCTTCTTGCAGCTTCATCCCCTGTGTCTAGTGAGGAGTAAAGAATGATGTGTTGATGGATATATATATATATATAGATATACAGAGGGATGTTGTTGATTCGTTGACAATGGGCAGAATCTTTGGACTTTCGCTGGAACGTGATATTGGGCTTGGTTGAAAGGACCCGGGTGGTGCAAATTGGAATTCACAAAGGGGTTGCTTGTTTTGGTTTCACTTGCAGACCAGGTGTTTGGTGGGAAGGTTCCGACATCAAGTGTCACTCCTCCCAAGTCACCGTGCCCAGGAACCAGAGACAGATGTCGTGACCGTGGCGTTGGAGGTGCGAGCTTCGGGGTTCAGCTTTTCAGTTCGTTCGTCGAGTTCATGAGAAATCATGAACCAATTAAAGCAGAACAGACTCGCAGGATTGACTTTTCTACTTTGGGTCGTTCTTTGTGGCCCTCCGCTTCTTCGGCACAAGAAAGTACTCAGTCTCTTTCGCCATCATCCCCCACCCCAAGGGAGCTGCTCCCAAAATGACAGGTCTCGGAGAATGCGAAGTCGGGAAGCCCATCGTGACGCCACGTGTCCAGCCTCGGGGCAACCAGGGACCACTGCGGCGACCAGAAACGTATTTTTTGTTCTTGCCAGGGAGTCAACAAGTAAGACTAAGTAGGGAAAAAGAGTGATCTGACCCAAGAGCTTTCTGTAGAAACGACTTTGGGTTGACATGCTGCCCACTGGTCGGCCGTTTACACGGCTCGTGTCCCATTACTTGGTCGCCTCAGGTTGCAACTTTGGGATCGCCTTCCACACCACTCAGAGGACAGGGGACACGCGTTCGTCGCGTTCGTCGCGGGTCACCGATCAGGGACCGAAGAAGACACCGGTCGTCCACCGGGTTCACACGGTCGTGGACGGGAGGTGTTTGAACAAAGCCAATTGGTGGTCTGGAAACTGTGTGAAGGGTGGCCGTTTTCCTTTTTTGGATGAAAGCTATTTCACGTGTGGCCGTGTAAAGTTAAAGGTAATTTCCCTTTCGCTTCAGGGGTTCTTATCACATTACTATAGCAAGTGGTCAGGAACTGGGCGTATGCTTGCCCTGCACGTAAGCCGCTTGATGGAGCACAAAAGTTCAGATTATCTAAACAACATGCAAACCACATCCCAAACAGAATTCCTCATGAAAGCAGCTGAACGGCATCAACCTTCCACAACCTTCCTCAAGCTTCTGAACTCCACAACCTTCTGCGCCAGCTCTCCTTTGTGGCACCTCTCTCTGCTCCACTTGTACCCGCCAGCACTTCTGCGACGTCTCGCTGAGAAGTACCGATGGGCAGGTCTTTAAGGCTCCGGTACGCTGATCGTGTCGGAACACCCGACTGCCTGGATGGTGTTTGGGACATGGATTTTTTTTGATTTGATGTACTTGAAAAGACATGGACATTTGTTTTGACATTTACTGATTGTACGTTGTGTTTTTTCATGGAGTCTTCCCTTTTGCTGCAAGTCATTTACTCAACAGCCACGCATCAGTCACTAGAGCAGCTATGTACGCGTCGGTCGCAAACCCTCGGATGGGCCAATGCAAAGCCCTGCGCAATCGAGGACCGACTCTTTCGTCTGTTTCGAGTCTGAGCCTCTGGCGAGGCTCATCGATTGGTGCTTTCCATGGCGAGTGATCCTCTCTTTGCCATGCTCAGTGGTAGCTTCGCAGAGGGGTGCGGGCCACAGCTGGGGGGCCACTTGGGGGCGGGGCGAGATGTCGTGGAAACGAGGCACGTCAGAGTGCCGAAAGGTCGTTCTTCCCTTTGTTCTGAACAAAAGGCATCACTCATCCAATGCTCGAACATGTGATTCTGCAGCTCCCTAGTATTCAGCGTATTGCTCAGCAGTGTCACAGAGACTGAGTTGAAGAAAGTCATGTCCCAGCATCCAGAGTTTGAGAGAAGTAGACTTTGATGAGTTTGAGAGAATGCCATCTTTCAGCGGACGAGCCAACGGAGTCGTCCCGACGACGACGTTGAGCCACCAGGCAGCAGTCGGAGGTGCCCTTCGAGTCTTCAGGGGAGGCAGCGATGTGCCAAATGGGCAGAGTGACCCATGACCGGTGGCTTAAGTGACACAAGGCATTCGGCATTAGGCAGCTGCAAGAACAACTTTAATACTGGGATTTCTCAGGTTAGGTTGGACAGCCCAAGGTTATGAAGAAGGGTTATAGGTTGGACTTTCTGTTGTTGGGGCAAAAGCTTGTTGAGCCAGTCATTTCTTCTTGAGGTGGTTGGTGCAGACTCATTTCTGAAAAGTGCTCAAGGCTGAAGGTTCAATTGCATGGTTGAAGGGTTGGGCCAATGGATACAACCGGGGCAGGGAGTTCAAGAAAAAAGGCTTTGAAAGGATTTCTTGAACTCAATATCTCAATGTATCTGCCTGTGATCTGGAATTTGAGAAACAGGACCACTTAGGAAGGTGGCTGGAAAGTTCGTGGAACAGCATCTGGAGTGATCCTCGGACAGTTCACGATACAGAGGACCTCCCTTGACTTGAATCTTGTAGGCAGAACAAAAAGGACTTTCGACTCTACCAGATGGTTGCTATGTCAGGAACTGGGCCAGTGCACTGGTCACTCGGAAGCTATTCTTCCACTTCTAGACTGTTAGAAGTTAGAAGTCGACAAAAGAAGCTTCTTGCAGTGGTGCCAGGCATTGAGCGCCTTCTTGGAGTTCCTCTACAAGGGGACCTTCTCAGTCAAGAAGGCTGGTTGGGCTAACTTCCAGAAAGTCGACGAAGGTCATGTGATGTGCTCTTTTTTAGACGTTTTTCCCGAGCCGGGGGTTTGACTCCACGTGACCTCCAGCTGGGGAAAGTCACTGTTTTTCCCAGGCGATTCTGCTGCTTCACCACATCCCCCCTCAGGCGATTCTGCCGGAATTGCTGCGCTTGGTCCATCAATGGGAGGCGCTTGGTCCGGTGTGCGATTGGGTCGGTCACAGGGCTGGTGCCGCCTCAGTTCGGCCGATCTGAACAAAGTATGGAACCCCCAAAGCGCTGTTCCTAACACGCACAGTGCTGTCACAGCAATCTGAGCTATACCACTATTTGATGATGAGTAGAACATGAGCCTTATGAATGCCTGCGAGGTGCAGCCCCTCCAATCCGCACTCAACGAGCTGCTGGTGAAGTGCTTTCGACCTGCAGGGAAGATTGGAGCTTTTGGGCAGGTTCCGTTGACGGAGAGCCACTTCGTTTACACGAAATCAGGGCACTTCAGGCATTGGGGGTCTTCTCAATACCAGCTCGTCGGGGCGTGGCAAGCCGGCCAGCCCCATCGAACTCGTTGGAACTTGTTGGAACTTCGGGGGGTTGGAGACATCTCATGGTCAAGTCAAGGCCACCATTCGGAAGACGCTCCAGGTCGCTCCCGGGTCGCTCCGGGTCGTCTGCAGCCCCCCACCCGGAAGCTGTCGTTCGGTGGTTTCACCGGCGACAGCGGCTTTGCCCCTGGGCGGGAGGGTTTGGTTTTGGGATCGCCTGGGTGACAGCGGTTTTTTTTTGGGGGGTTTGCTGGTCAGTCCACCAGAAAGGGTGAAACAACTGGGGAGGGTGGAGTTGCAACCTGAGGCACATGACGCCAGAGCTTTGTTCTTCCCTGATCGTGGACTGCGAGGCTGGGTGGCAACTGGAGTTACTGTAAAAATGTCGATCCCACCGCACCATGAGGCGATCTCTCCAACCGAGTGGTTGGGGATTCCCCCATAGTGGGTGGTCGAAAAGAACTTCAAGAACCAACGACTGTAGTTGACCAAGTATACTATGGTCTCGCCAGGAAGAATGCCTGGACATAGTTCGTCGTCCCAGATTCCAAGCAACATGGGATATGAAAGAACATGAGACTCCGTCTTGTGCTTAGCATGGAACACCCAGCAGCCACCCTCAGTTTGGTACTCGCCAGCTGCCAGAGCTTGCAGTACTGAGCCCAGCCGCGCGCTGCTTGGACTGTTTGGAGGTCCTTTTGGTGGACCAGTTGGATGAAATGCTGGTGTGGCGCCTCAGATCTTTGGAAGACTCCTGGAAGACCAATCACTACATTGCCCCCAAAGCAGGCCCCCCCGCAGACCCTGCACGCGAGCGAGTCTGACCTTTGCTGTAAAGCGGGATAGAATCCAGGTGTCTGCTGAGGTTTTAGGAGGAAAGTACACAGTCTTGGGCTTCGTTTGATAGAGTACGATCGAGCGGGGAGGCGTTTGTGTTTGGGCTTTGTGCCAGGGTGTTGTGGGCACCTTGGACACTTACCAAACCGCGGTATGGAGGAGAAAATTCGATCGCCAAACCCACCGCCGATGTGGTTTGAATCACTTTCATTTCTGTTGACCTTGTGAACTCAGGAGCGTTACGTCTTGCAGAACTTCAGCGCTTGCGTTCGATGCCCCGGGTGTTGACACATGGATTTCTTGGGCGGGAGGTGTCCATCAAGGCGTCAGAGGAGGGATTCGTTGATGGTTCTCCGAAGTTCGTGGTTCACATGTCCCCCATGTCACCTTGGCATTGCTGTTGTACTTAGCTTCAGCTGTTTGAGGAAGAGGTAGCAGCAGTCATATCTCAGAAAGCCTGGAAGTGGTTGAAATGAACAGAAAACGCCCTGCATCACATCCATTCGGATCGCCAAGTTTGATGGTTCCTCCTCCATGTTCGGTGTCCAGGTGCTCTGCTTCTCATGATACCATTCCAGGCCCCCGTGGCCCCCGTGCGCATCAGCCCGGGCTGGCGCATCAGCCGTCAGCCGTCATGAGGTGAAGACCGAGCAGTTTGGCTCGTGGCCCCTGCACCGCATGGCCGGAGGGCCCGACTGCTCGGTGGGGTATAGGTCATGCATTGGATCCATGTGGTTTGGGGTTCATACCTTTTTGATCCTTTTTGAGTGGGGGTTGTTTTGGGTTGCACAGGTGGCGCTGCCTGAGAAAAGAGAAGAAGACCTGACCTAAACATTAACACATTATAGTTTCTGAAGATATGGACCTCCTCGCTTCCCTCTGAGTTTTGTGCGCACAGACGCAAGACTTTCAAACCAAGAGTTTTTGTTTTCTCCATTTGTAATTCGATTCTATGCACTTTTCTGAATTGAATCTCTCGGATTTCTAATGGGACAGACGGACGCTTCGGGCTGAGTTGGACCTTGCGACCCCCTTTGTGACCCTGGACGGCCACCAGATGGACGTCGACGACTTTTGATTGAAACTGGGTGCTGGTCGGTCCCACGGGGTACTGCTCCGCAGCAAAGCGCAGCAGCGGCACTGAGATTGGTCTCTTGCGGAGCGATGATTTGGTGGCGGAACATGAGGAGGAGGCCGCCCTAAGATTGAGATGGCAGGAGTGAGGAAAACCGCTGATGGATACCTCAGAACAATCACACTACTTGAGATGCCTTGCAGATCTTGGAACAGTTTGAATACAAAAGGAAGGGTCAAAGGGCTGGGCAGACCGCTCTGGCTTCTTTTTGCCGGCAAGCCATGAGGTTTTGAAGCTCCAAGTTTCGATGGAATCCAACCAGCATGCAGAACATGTCCAACGTTTTGATCAGAGGTCTTGTTGGAACAAGCTGGCCCCAAGCATCGTGTGTCCCACGAAGATGACTCACCTCGATTCGATCTTTTTCGGTCTGTGCTCATGTCCTCTTTCGGGACACTTTCTGCACTCCGGAACGAAACATAGTTAGCCACGTAGCTCATTGCAGCACCACCCAAAGGGTGGTTTATAGATCCCCCGTGAAGATGTATTTTCATCCAATAACAACCCTTTGGGTGGTGTTGGTTATTGCTCTTAGATGATCCCTTTCTTTTCCACTTCCCAGGGCCTCCTTTCCTTTCGGCGGAGGAAAAAACTCACTCGGCTCCCCTTGAGCCTTTGTTTCGTCTCCGTTTGGTCTTTCGTCCCAATCACCTGCAGACAGACTCTCCGAGTCAGTCTGGGTCGACCCGCGCACCTGTTTGGGGGTCGACCAGGTCTTGGCCGCCGTGATGCACTGGCACCGCAGTGGTCCCCACCGGGACGACGCCACCGCCGCCCGGGGCACCCGGAGGGAACTGGGCAAGGGCGGCTCAGGGATGGTGGATGGTGGTGAAGGCACGGGAGAAATCAAGAAAGTTGATTTTTTTTGAGGTTTGTTTATTTTATCTCGTGTTTTAATTTGGTGATCGAAATGGGTTGAGTGAGATATTTGAGGAAACATGGTCATAGGTGCTGCGCGTTCTTTGCTTGGCCACAGGATCAGAATGGACAGAATTCGTCCAGACCCATCTCAAGGTGGGTGATGCCAGAGTAGCATCGCGTGGGACGAAAGTCTTGGTGTGTGGAGTGGTCTCAAAGGTCTTGGAGTAGTTCATACTGATGAAACCAACACCTTCCGGTCGATTTTCCGCTGTTACAGCCCACATCTCGGATCTCCACTGGTGGTGCCTCCCGTCCCGTCCGTCCCGTCCTTCCTTCGAGGCTTTGCTGCAGATGGTGCGCTTCACCCTGCTCTCGGCGGAAGCCTTGCAGGGTGTGCCGAGCGTCGGACGTCGGCGACGAGTTTGGTTGGAGATCATCAACACGTCTTGTCGTAGTTCCAGGTTTGTATCCAGCAAGCGGACATGTTTCATTCACTTGCGTTGGAAAGTCGACTGGATCCAAGCAGCTTGGACGTGGTTCTCTCAGAAAATGCGAGGCCAAGAAATGACACCACAGCACTCTCAGCATCCAGAACTTGTCCAATTCAATTATAGATCTTCTCCTCACCGACTCCTCACCCATGAGGGCCCCTTTTCTGCCTGCGCAGGCCTTGGCAGCCGAGAAGGCGGGGAAATCAACGCATCCGGGACCATCCGCTGACCGAAGGCTGCGGCCGAGGTGACCACCCACGGACCGTCGGGTTGGCTGGGGGGTTTACACCTTGGACCATCGGTGTCCAACGAGGCACGTTTCGTGGATTTTTCAGTGAAGGAGGGCTTTTCTGGTTTCACTTGACAGCTTGATTTTTCAATTTTCAATTCGATAATGGGATTAATTAATTTGACTACTGGAGCGTCATGAAAATACTGATCTCCTCCAACTCTTCCTTGAATAGTCTTGCTGGGTGTGTCCACACATTTCCACGGCTGGTTGTGCTGGTTGTGGTTCTTAAGGCCTGACTGGATTGCCTGGCGTTGTTTGGGGCTCAGGCTTCAGAGTTGATGGTATCAATCTGGAAGGTGGTGCTGTTGGCAGATGGATCCGCTTCAATCCCCATTTGACCTGGCATATGATATGGAATATGGATGTACATGGGTTTGCGCGATCTACAATGACTTCACACTGAATGCTTTTGCACGCAGAGCTTTTTTTTTGGCTGTTTGCCGTGTGATGCCTTCGAGCTCCCAAGCCTGAAAGAGAAGATCAATTTTGCCTACTCTATGCGCAGATCCCGGTTGAAGAACCAAATGTCATCCAGACCTTTGCTACATCCCCAAGCATTGCACTCGTTGTGGGACTCCTGTTTGTTTTACTTGTTTCCGCCTGTTGGACTCCGTTCCGGTCAATCCGTGAGTCCAACAGGATGGCTTTCTCCGTTTGGATGGCTTTCTTCTCCAAGGTCATGAGCCGCCTGGCCGCTGCAGCGCTGAAAGTGCACCAGGGCATGGGCATGGCCACTCAGGGGCACCCAGGGCCATGGCGGGAATTCCACGGGAAGACTTGGAGTTTACGCACAATCGAAAAATGGAGAAGACACGCATTTGTTGACATGACTTTGGGTCCGTTCTTCCTTTCAGTTCATTTCTGGACAGTGGTTGACCTGCACGAGTTTGGGTCAACCTCACCCCACCTGCCAGATCACTATGTTTAGTTCTACTCCCCTGTGGGTGACGCGGTGTTAGTGTGTTGGTGGGAATGACCGAGGCCTGGTTCTTACTTCGATTTCGTGGTGCACTTCGCTTCGCTCATTTCCACCCAACAGAACAGGTCCACGAGTGAATAGAGTCCCAGCAGCCAGCGACCGAGCCTTCAGCTACCCTGACTTCAACAAACGCAGAAGGAGAAAACGCACGGGAACCATTCTTTTCACGACAGGTTGCCTGTTGGTTTTCACATCCAGAGTCACACGTAGGCATCCAGCAAAGCCACCGTTTGCCAGTGAAAAACCTGCCAGTTGGCCCCGTACCACCCGGAGGCTATTGAGAAACAACAAACCTCAAGTTCCTCAAGCTTCGCGCGTGCCAAAACACAATCACCGACGGCGGTGTCTAGGAATTAAGAAACAACATTGTTTGATGCAATGCATTGGTTGCAGGCTTGCCCACAGCGGTGCGCGCAAGCAGCGCAAGTACCCACTCGTTGCAGATTGCCGTCACCATACCTCGCCAAAGCTTGGCTCCCCTCACATCATGTCTCAAGGTTACCAAAAGTTAAACAGCTTGCTCTATGTTTTTGGCTTTTCCGGCGAGATCAAACACCAGGCTTTTCGAATATATATATATATACTGTATATTTGTATGATGTTGTAGCTACCTGACAAAATCTGCAAAGGAAAGAAACAACTCTTAACAACTGGCGAAAACATGCGGCAAACACTCCCGTGTGAGGGACAACACTTGCGGGTCTGTGAGAAGCACTCTGGTTGCCATGTTTGTCCAACTGACCACTTGAGGGTTGTGAGATGCGGACGTGTCGATGGGGATCACACAAAAAGAATGCAGATGAGGTTTCAGACAATGGAAGACAGGTCGTCGACATAGGAGGTGAACTTTGTTGTTCAGAATGAACAGCTTTGACATGTTTGACAGTTTTGATCCTGCATCTTCAAGTACAGTCTGTGCCAACTGCTCCTGTGTGTTGTCAATGGTTATTATTTAACCAGGCTAGCGCCTGGCAGCCGCCGACCCCCAGGGAAGTGGATGGCCTAGGTTTAATGGGTTAAGAGTTTTTTTTGGAAAAATCGGGGAACCCAAAAAACAACACGGAACCCCTAGAGACATGATCTGTCACTGCATCACCAAAGTAGGCAGAAGAGAGCACGGCAAATGGGTTAGCATTTTTCGTGGAAATTTTGGGAACCCCAAATGAGTAAATCTTACAAAAACCTTTGAAAATCCTAGAAATCCGGCGGAAAACGTTGCAAAATCTAGGAAAAACCAAGGGCACTGGCAGGGACCAGGCCGCAACCAGGCCGGGATTCGAGCTTCGAGCCCGGGACCATTTAGGGACCCTGCTTATTTTCCCGCGCGGGTGGAGAGGGTGCCCCAAGATGTAAATCAATTGGGATGGATAAATTTTGGACAATTTTTGGACAATTTTTGGCTACTTTTCGTCACTCCAACAAAGCTCCGGAGGGGTAGGGGAGGTATAGCCTTAATCATAGCCTTAGCCTTAATCATAGCCTTAGCCTTAATCAACAGTCACGCCTGACCCCACGAGTGGGGTCGGCGGACTTGCATGCACTTCAAGCGGTCACTGGGGTTGACCAATCACTACAAGTACAACAACTGCCATTACCATCTCCGCAACTCAGGTGATCCACGGGAGCGTCCCGAAACCCCGGAAGAGGCCTTGAAGGGGGCGCAGTTGGGGGCGCAGTTGGCCTTGTGAATTGCTGGGACCAGCTTCATAGGGAACTCAGGAGAACTTATATATGCACAATTACAGGTCACTGACTGCAGATGGGGATAGTTCTTTGCAGCTGCCGGGGTAAAGAGGACCATGATACAGTATCCCGACATATCCCGACCGTGCACAGATTGGTTTGTGGTCATATGAAAACCACGTGGCCAAGTTGGCTTTAAGTTTGATTGGCCCCAGAAACAGAATCAACCTTAAAAGATCGGAGAACCCACAGGGCAGGTTTTGTTTACAACCATTTCTGACAATTGACGCTGGTTGTTCACGTTGCCAAGCCAACTTGCCATGGCTGAGAAGAAGCGTAAACTGTCATCATTGGATGACGTCAATCTTGACTTCAACGATGGCAAGACATCTTCTGCCAGCTCTACATTGCTCCGGATGGCATCCCCAGTGTTTGATGCAATGTTTACATCTGGCATGGACGAGGAGCAAACCATGAGAGTTCAGGTGGAGATGCCCAAAAGTTATCATTCATTGCATGTGGCCTTTACTGAACTTGCTGAGAGACTTGCCCTTTTTCAAGGGGTTACTGTAGCTTGTTACAGATGACTTGTCATGCCGCAGGTAGAGATTGCCACAAAAGAGGAGTTTGATGAGTTCTACAAGCTCTTGAAGCCTGGTGTGTGGACACCCGAGCTTATCACAGACAAAAACGCCGACTCTCTCCTTGCAATCTCGGACTACTATGGCGTGAAGTTCATCACAAAGGCTTGTGAGAAGAAATTAGCTGAGCTGCCTGTGACAGCGCGACGCCTTGTCCAAGCACACAAGCATAACCTGAAAGCCCAATCGAAGCGTTGTTTGGAGGGCTTGGCCGCAAAGTGCACGGACCAGGCAGGCTTCTGGGAAGTTGTCACGTAGAAAGGATGACTCTTGTTTCAACAGTTGCCCAGTGGATGGCATTCATTTCCTGGTTGTGATATGCTTGCTGGAGGAAGCCACCGCAAGGAACGTGAAACTTTCATTTAGGTTTAGAAATGTGGCTCCCCGCAATCCAACATTTTGTTTGAGTTTGCAATCTTTTTTCTTTTTTTTGAAGACAGCCAGCCACAGCCACGTGTCAGGACTTAGGCAAGATCTACGAGGCCGACCCAGCCCTCCTTCTCAAGCTGGCACGAGCGCTGCGCGCGCGCGTGGCAAGCTTCCGACTGGCGCAAGTGCAAGGCCGCTTCCTTTATTAAGTGCAGACATGAAGTAGGACGATATGCCGCAACAAAAAGGAAGGTAATTCAGTGGCGGCGGACGTGTGGTGGATTCATGTGGTGGGTTCTACCTTTGTCAGAAAGTCATTGATAGCTTGTTATGTACAACAATACTTGTTTTTGGATGGTCGACAGATACACACAATTGCACATATCAAAATATAGAAAGTGTGCGAGAATGGAGTCAAGACTGCCTTCTCCTTGAGAGTCGCTATTCTCATTTGCAAGCAGGCCATCAAGCAGACATCACTAGATGGCCTCAAATCCATGTAGTCTATCTAGCGAGAAAAAGCCATGGAGCCATGGTCATCTCCAAAACCTGTAGGCTGGGCTCAGTTGATCCGTCAAGGGGTGAAATTTGGCACTTGCCAAACTGAAGAACGGTCAAAGATGTATGTTTTCAGGACGCAGAGCAGATCTTGTACAATGTCTTGAACACCACTTTCTTAATGTCCTACAGACAAGCATTGTAGTTATTCCTAGCCAACCAGACTTGCCATGTCCGAGAAGAAGCGCAAACTGTCGTCATTGGATGACGTCAATCTTGTCTTCAATGATGGCAAGACATCTTCTGCCTGCGCGGCATTGCTCCGGATGGCATCCCCTGTGTTTGATGCAATGTTTACATCTGGCATGGACGAGGAGCAAACCATGAGAGTTCAGGTGGAGATGCCCAAAAGTTATCATTCATTGCATGTGGCCTTTACTGAACTTGCTGAGAGACTTGCCCTTTTTCAAGGGGTTACTGTAGCTTGTTACAGATGACTTGTCATGCCGCAGGTAGAGATTGCCACAAAAGAGGAGTTTGATGAGTTCTACAAGCTCTTGAAGCCTGGTGTGTGGACACCCGAGCTTATCACAGACAAAAACGCCGACTCTCTACTTGCAATCTCGGACTACTATGGCGTGAAGTTCATCACAAAGGCTTGTGAGAAGAAATTAGCTGAGCTGCCTGTGACAGCGCGACGCCTCATCCAAGCACACAAGCATAACCTGAAAGCCCAGTCGAAGCGTTGTTTGGAGGGCTTGGCCACGAATTGCACTGACAAGGCTGGGAAGCACAAAGTGGGACTATACCCTCCAAAGTGTTCAGTAATGTTCAGCTCAGCTGATTCAGCTGTGTTAAGCCAGATGGAGACGAGATGCGTAGAGCACTGCAAATTTGCTGAGGAAGCAGGAAGGTGTTTCAAGTGTGGGTGTTGTAATCATTGGACATTTGGCTGCATTCTCAGTGGTCTCCGCGAATTGAAACATGTGGTTTCACCCAAAAGCTGCCGCCATGGCTCAGGACCTGGCAGAGATTCGCAAGGCTGACCCAGATATTCTCCTGCAAGTTGCCTGTGCTCTGAGGGTGCGCCCGGCTCAGAGGGTCCCGGCTCAGATGGAGGACGAAGCTGAATTTGTTCCAGTGATTCCAGTGAGGCAAGGTCTGCCACCACGTATGCCAGGTATGCCAGGTATGCCAGGTATGCCATGTATGCCAGGTATGCCAGGTATGCCAGGTATGCCAGGTATGCCAGGTATGCCAGGTATGGCAGGTATGCCAGGTATGGCAGGTATGCCAGGTATGGCAGGTCTGCTACCTGCACCTATTCGCGGCTGACGAAAACGGTGCTTCAGACAGGGGCCTTGTGGCATGTGTGCATGATCCAAGCATTCTAGTGCTCAAACAAGAGTCTGCTTCTGTTGTATTTAAATCAATTACTGTAGCCCTGCCAAATATTTTTTTGAGGGCTTTGCGCCTAAAAATCATGTATGGAACAGCTCTATATATATATATATATATGCGGTGTTCTTGCCGAGGCAGAGTTTTCGAGGGGTGATCCTCCATTTTCCTGCAGGCATCCTACATGAAAGCCGTGAAGTTGCGGAACTCTTACCCCTATTGGCAAGGGCCTGGGTGAGGGGATCAGGTGTGGGCAGATGAGCCAGTGAAGGGAAGTGTGCTAGCATGCTGCCTGGTATGGAGTGTCACCTGCATTGGATTATTGTTGGGCTTTCGCTGCTTGGGTCGACGGTCGTAGCTGCGTAAGCTTCAATGAGAGGGATCCTGGTGGTCCTCCAACTCAGCTGTCCGCCATGGCTTCTCCCCAGGTGGGCGGATTTCGGCTGCTCCCTGCGGGGCGGGATGGTCATCGCCGAGCGCAGCGGGCAGTACGGCGAGGCGAGTGGTGGCTAAAACGTGGCAACCAGTCGGGGTTGAGAGCCCTTTCAATTGGATGATATAAAATAGGTATTAAAACATATATAAATAATATTACTATTGTGATTATTATGTTTGTTACTATTCGCACCAATTAGTTCAAGTCTCAGTGGGTGCTTGTGCAAGGAGCTTCTTGAGTTTGAAGATTTCCGAGAGAAAACGCGCTTGCATTTTGGCTTATGGAACACGATATTCATGATGACTCGTAACCACCGGTGTAAACTCCTTCTTTCCAGGTGCTCATCTCTTACCCTTAAACGATTTTTTGGTGAACTTCTTTTCCCTTTCCCGCAGCTTCCTACGGTGAAGAAGCAGCGCCGACCTGAGGGCGAACTGGAGCCCTGGGCGGTGCACATCCACGACCAGGCGCTCTACATCATCGATGGCCAGGGCCTCCCAGGCAGTGGCAGGTGGGGGAACCACCACTGAACTTTACGGCCTTTCTGCAACCTCACGAGAGGCCCTGGTCGCCTCACCCTAAAGATTCATAGATAGACACTCTGTTTGTTTGTGTTGTTGGTATTGAATGAACCTAATGGCCCGCATCCCGAGTGGGTCCTGTAAGAACTTGAAACCGGTGTTGAAGTTTTCACCAAACGCGTTGGTATTCCTTCAGTAGGAAGGATGAGAACTTCAACCGTGTTTGGGGTTTCCAGGATTCGCTGAATGGTTAAGACCAACCCTTTGAGGAAACTCTGGCTGAAAGCAGTTTAGGGAAGGCCTAATCAGTAAGATGTTGGTCGAACCATCTACCTTTTGATTAATCCTCTCTGTGCCTGTAGCACAGAGACGATTGACGATTAAAGATTTTGCCTCAGTTGGCCTTTTCGTTTTGTATTGTTGCCATAGTTCAACCCTGATCCTTTCCATGAGATTTACGCATTTGAATCAGTAAAAAAGGATAAAAAAGGAGCGTAATCCCCTGGGAGATGATTGTAGTGTTTGGACCGCGGGGGATGCAACTATCTTCCGCAGCTGCTAAGGGCGGGAGCCTTGCTGCGTGCTTCAGGCAGAGTGACTGCCGCGATGGACTGCAGCTACTGTACATTTTCGTCGGAGTTCTAAGCTAATAGCAACCCATTCTGGCAGGTTTGAACGGTAGTGTTTGCCTGGGCTTCACAAGGAAGATGTTCTTGAGCTGTTGCATGGTGGTGGCAGTCGGTGGTCGCAGGAATTTGCTGCAACTGGGGGCAGGAATCCCACAAAACCAGGAGAGACTGACAATTGGGGGGATGCTTCTTCTCTAAATGCTTCTTCACTACAGTGCAAAAGGAGCACAAACAGAATAGACTGAGCGATGTAAAGGATTCCAGGGTTTTTTGACTGTTATGCATCTATCAAAAGGATCCAAAAGTGAGTCTCTCTCTCTCTCTCTTTCTTTCTCGCCTTCACTTTGGTGTTTTTGGTGATCTACTTCAACTTCATTCCTGTTGGTAGAGGTTTCTTCCTTTCTCGCATGAACAGAGAACAACAGTGAAGCAGGCAATTGAGGTTGCAACCAAACAGCCTAACGACAAGCCTATCAGTGAAAAGAAGGGACCCCAAGCAAATGCAACAGCGATGTTGGACTTGAATCAATTTTTCTTCTTGCATTGTTGTGTTGGTGACCGGTTTTCGCTGCTCCAGTGGCCCTTGGGAGCCTTATCTGGACGTGTGGTGGTGGGCACTGGCAGCACGTCCGGATGCACAGGGACGTTTGAACTGGGAGAGGATTGGAATCAATAAGCATCCTGGGAGTTGGCAGTTTGGTACATAGACCCCCTCACCTGTATTAGCTTTAATAACGCCGGCCGGCAAAAAGTGGTTGATCCTACAAAGCAAAAACAATTCTCTTGTGGGCTAAACAGGCTCAACTTAATGGTCAATTGTTAAGGAACCAGCTCCTTGACGGTCCTTGACTCTTCAACAGCAAGGCTCGCAGATTCCGTTCAACCCGGAGCCCTGTTGATTCACAGAGGGCAGGATAGAGATCCTGCCATCAAGCCGAAAATCCTTGAACCTTTTTCTCACAGGGGAACGCATGCCCAAAAGGGCCTTTAGCCTTTTGCCGCTTGATGAAGATCTGTAAAGGACTCGGAGAGAGTTTTGGGCAACTGACGAGGTCTTCGATCAGACGAGGTGACTGGCGGCAGACGTTACAAGCTACATCGATGTCATCCCATGACGTTACAACAGAGTTCCCATCGCCTCCCGTTCAAGCCGGCTGGAACTGCTGGCTTTCAGCTCACTCACTTCTATTTTGATGGTACCCTGGTGAGTGAAAGTGGACGTGCTTTGACACCAGCTCCGGGCACCGAGCAAGCGGACTCGACCACTCCCACCCGCAATATGGATCCATGGATCCCGACCCGGATCCCGACGACCCCACGCCGCGGGAGCCACGCGGGAGCTGAGGCTGAACGGTGTGAATGACTTTTCCGCCGCTCGGGCGGAGACTTCGTTCCGGGGGGAGTGCGTTTTGGGGCGAGAGACGCTGCGGCGGGGCGTGCGTGCGTTTTGGGGCGCGCGCGTCGTTGTGTTGGGCCTTAGCCAAATGGTGCGGTCGGGATGGTAGTCCAGGAAGAATCTTCGATTTCAGAGAGTAAAATCGCAATATACAACAAAACAGGTGTGTCCTTAACGAGGGTGCATGAAGGTCCCACATCCGGTTCAGTCAGGTTTTCGGCCAATGACCCGCTGTTTGGCGCGAGGCGCCAGGCTAGGCGCCTAACCTGCCCGCCTAGGCGCGAATGACACCTGAAACCGGATGTTCGATCCCACCGCACAAGATCTGTTGTGCAGGAAGAGTTTGGAACTACCAGGTTTGATGCTTTGACCAACTCTTCTGATTGAAATCTCTTGGTCGAGTCGTTGCGCGAGTCCGCACGGATTGGGCGTCCTAAGGACATCATTGACATTGCCATTGACGCCAATGGCGATTTGTTTGCAGGGCGCCAATGGAACGGCTGAAACGGACTCCGTTTTGGTGGATCACGGGACTGAATTCATGTCGTTTTGGAGGAACCAAGTCTCAAAACGAACATCCAGAAGCAACTGAAATTGAGAGCATTTTGCTGGTGATTAACCTCGTTAACACGTAGTCTGTTCACCTACTGTAGTCTGTTCATGCTTTCCCTCAACGATCCACTGGCCTCGTTGACCAAATGAGCCTCCTAGGTCTTGGATGGACAGCACGGACGCATCGTGAGGAGACGACCGCGAGTGACGCCGCGAGAAACGCCGCGATGGGCTGCGGTGGAACTTGTGGAACGATTGCCTATTAGCAGCCAATATGAGACAACTGTGCCTGAGCAGCCTCCAGGTGGCTTTCACCACGCCTGGAGCGTAGAGAGTCGAGAGTCTCTAAATTCACGTGCATCAGTCTAAGAGGACATAAGAGGACCACGTTTTGGGGGGACCACGTTGAAGAGAAGCATCCTTCATTTTCGTGGGTTGCATTCTTACGAGCTGTCATTTGGGTGGCACGATGTCCCCCATGTGTAGCTTCCTCACCCGGTCCACTGGTTGGCAGGATCCGCGACGGTGTGGGGGAGGTTGTGGGCGACGGGGTCCTTTCGTTGGACGTGGGAACCCGCGCATTGTACATAGGCCCGGGTGGGGAGACGTGATGTGATTCATCGTTTTCCGGGGTTTACCTGATCCAATCCAAGATGGTAATCCAATCTAAGAATGGGCTTGCATTGGGCTCTTACCTTGCACTTCTTTTTTGCTGCTTGCCACCGCTTGCCGGCGCTTGCGAACAGATGCAGCCGCACGCAACAAGTCCAAAGAGTAAAGCTCATGTTTGACTGTGCCGCTTTGGCTTGGTTGACTAGCTTACTGTCGGTGACCTACTGAGGTGGCCCGGTTGCCAAATAAGATGACCGCCGAAACGCAGGCACTGATGGCTCCATCTACTTCATCGATGAGGGCGGCTCACGCGTGCAGAGGCACGGCGATCCAAGAAAGCGCAAGTTGCTTGCGCCTATGTAGACGCGGGGTTCCTTGTCAAGGGTTGGTTTTGAGGCTTCACAACGGCGGGATGGACACCCCAATCTTCCCCATCGAGTCACATCCTTCCGGAACGCTGGACTCCACTGGAGACGAAGGAAACAGGCCAACCGTCTCCCAAAGCCACCGGTCTCTCCGCGGGTCGATGGAGGTACTACCAGGGCATGACGGTGCCGGTGGCTGGTGGGCCGGAGTCCGGCGATGGCGCCTCGCAACTGGAGGCGCCCACCCGGGCCCGTGCGTGTGTTTGGAGTGAAGAAGGGGAAGCCTGACGAACCGACTGAGGGAGGGTGATGGATCAACGGTTTTGCATTGCTTGGCTTCACTTTGACACGTTACATGCGCGGTCTTTGCCTCACCATGTTTGTGGATTGCCTTGCTTCCGCGTGGTTCCAACTGCTGGTGCTGGTGAGGATGCCGAGGACATCTTCGTCACCAAAGATGGCCTGGGGTGTTTGGGCGACCAGGGTGCAGGGCAGATGGCTACAGAGCCAGTCCATTTATATAATAGCTGTTTGATTTTGAACCGTTCAATCTCGTGACCTGGCAGCTCTGGGTGGTCCAAAACTGAAGTGAGAGAGATAGAGAGAGAGAGAGAGAGAGAGAACACCCAATGAGATCTTCGTGAAGTCGTTTATCCATAGCAGAAGAATCATCACATCGATTCATGACTGGAGACGACTCTGAGATGACCAGGGATCCTGACAAATACTTGGGTGGTTGTTTCGCTATTGCAACTGACCAAATCCCTTTTTCCTTTCCTCTTGGGTTGATGCCTCTTTTCTGGGAAAGGGGGTCTTGGAGTCGATGGCACTGGCCATCATTGATCATCGATCAAACCTGGCAAGGATCCACTGTTTCTGTAAAGCCGAGGGAGCAATGAACGGTTGATGTTGGTGATGTTGGTGCGTGAGCTTTGAATCGGATGGCTTTGGTGTTGTCCCCCTGTTCACGGACTTTTTAAAGATGGGCGGGTCTTCTCCAGCAGCGGAGCTTTCCCGCGCTCGTCCCGCAGGTGTTTTGTATGTGTCGGACAGCGGGAACAACCGCATCCAGAAGTCTGAATCCTCAGAGTGTCTGACAGCCGTGCTGATCGATGTGCAGCGGTGCTGATCGAATCTTCGAGGAAGAGCCAGCGGAGACGAGCGGCTACGTCTGCGTCGATTTCATCGAATGTCGTAGGATGTCATGGGCAGCGACTCTGATATGTAAACCGATCCGTCAGAAAATCAGGCACCAGTTCTCTGCGACCAAGTTCCATCAATGTTCGACCAATGCTGCACACTTGTTCCATCTCTTTCCAAGGAAAAGCCTTTGAAAGTTCAAAAACACATCCTGTGCTCATCGTCCCATGTTCAGGCGCTCATCCCCCTTGCCATTCTTTTGGCGTTCGATTCTCCGGATGCCCCAAAGCGCCCACGGCCGCTACGGCCCTCGCCCCTCAGGTGGCTCCCGGGCGCCACGAGCGGGGTGACCGTGGCGGGCGGCCATGGGAAGGGATCGCGTCCGGGGTGCTCGGAGGGTGCTCGACTGGTCGAGAGGACGCTCATCTTGAGGAGAGTGACTGACGGGTGCTGGAACTCCAAAAAACAAAGATCGGAAAGAAGAGAGAGGAGTCTGGGAGTCTGGGAGTCTGAGGTGGATTTTTTTGGTGTTGTTGTGTGGTATCATTCTTCTCCAAGGTGGCGAAGATGATCATTTGCTTGCATTAAGCACTACAGGATTTAGGGTTTTCAAGATGGTGGTTTTCACCTGGCTCAATCCATGCGGCCCCAGAAAGGGGGAAGGTACAAGAGAGGACCACCGTGACAATGACCTAAGGCTGTGATCAACTCCAACATCCAGTTGGCCTGCATGTCACTGAGGAGCACCCACAGCCACATCATGTTTTTCATGTCTTCACCTCCTATTTCGAGCTCTTGGGTGTCAAGAACTATGGCAAAAACGTAAACCAGGACTTTGGATGAAGTGAGGTACCTGTCTTGGTTTGGGCATATGTCTTGGTTGGGAGAGGATTCCACCATCTACATCGCGGACTACCAGAATCACCGAGTCATGAAGTGGAAGGAAGGCGCTGGTCATGCGTGTGCAGCAGTGTGACTCGTTCTTGAACTCCTCACTTGTTGAGAAGCATCTCTTCTGTAGCAAACCATGTTGTATGCTCAAAGATCTAATTATATGGTGACCTCACACAGGTCCCAACTCACCTTCTCCCAAATGGAGTCATACTAGGTTACTAGGTAATGATGAGTTAGACAGTTAGAATGTGTCATTGTCAGAAAGTTAGGATTTACCATAGTCCTAACTCATGTGGCCTGCACCCCCATGTGGCTGCATTTGGTTTGAGAGTCAATCCAACACCCCCACAGCCAGCTTGATTCGCATTGGGCTGATTTTTCTGTTCAGAGCCGAACCTGCGCTCTCAGCTGTGGGCGTAGTGGGGACCAGGCTGGCAGTACGGCCTGGTGGTTGCTGGTGGTCATGGTGTTGATTCTGGGCTGCACCAGGTTGGGGGCGCTTGCGATGAGTTGAGAGTGAAGTTGGAGGAACCATTTCGGGATCCACCAAGTGCCACCGAGCTTGATGCGTAATTTGTTTCCTCAGAAGGAAAGTGTCTGAGTTGTTTAGACATACCATCATCTTGGTCGGAAGACGACAAGGATGTGGACGTAGCACTTGATCACCCATGTGTGGTCCGTAACAATGTTTAACCCTGGCAAGCTGATATGTAGGCTGACACCATCGGAGACCCACTAAGCTTCAACTTAGCACGTCACTCCCATGTCTTCAGAGCTGTCTTAAGATGACACACGGTGGCTGGTTGTAGCCTGTCCGGTTGCAGATTCAGCACTTGAGACCAAGACCATGCGCGCCTGACGCTCCTTGACTTGCTCCATGGCCAGCTGGAGTGCGTGAGGGTTCACAGGAAATCAATTATGGTAGAACTCAGATTTGTAGCCCCTCACAAGCAGGATGCCACCCTGTTGTTGATCAAATGCCAGAAATCATTTGCAATAGATGGTTGGACACCTAACGTCCAGCCAGTGAAGATCCCATCGAACTTCACGTGCAGATCACTTGTCGCGGCTCGCGATTCATCGTAGAGAGCCTTTACTAAAGCGCCTGCCATGGTGGATGTGATCATGGCGGGTATGCCAGACACTGAGGATTCTCAGGTGATTTGTCGGGCTTTTGAGAAGTTGGGATGGTGAATGGTTGATGCAGTCTGTCGTAATAGGATTGTAGTCGCAAAAATTGGTACTTTGTGGGTCAAGTCCCCTCTAGCTGGAACAAAAAGGACCCGTTTCTCAAGTTGAGACGAGCATGCATGAGGTTCCCCAGGTGGCCTCCATCTTAAACTGGCTGTTTGGACGCGAGCTGGACCCGTCCTCCCAACTCGTGGGGTTTCGAACTCATCGAGGTCCGAACTCATCGAGGAGGAGTCCACAGGCACGTGGGACATGAAGACTCCGTCCATGGCACCAGCTGAGTGGACTGAGGAAGTGACGACAGCTGGGTGGACTGGGTGGGACTGGGCCAACGGCTTCATAGACACCACACCAGTCTCGATTCCAGCTTCGTAGAGACCGCCCCAGCTAAGACGCCCCCAGCTAAGACGCCAGGTTCACCTGCTGGGGACCTCAGGGGACCTGCTGGGGACCTCACGAGGCCGCATTCGGACTCGGGTTCTTCGTGGAGGTTTGAGGTCTCTAAACCTTTAGGGTGTTGAGAAGTCTTCCACAGGTGCGGACTTGCGAATCCACCTATTTCGTTGCACCCCTGGCATCTCCCCAGTGGACCAAGGCTGAAGATTTGAGGGACGTGATCTTGGAGGTGGGGCATAGCCAGGGTCGTTCTCCCCGTGATGGCCCGTATCGTGGATTGAGGGTAGATGGCACAGACCCCAAGAGGTGGTTAATATTGATCCCCAATTGAAGGACATCTTGACCACTGCAAAAAAAGAGAACAGCACTGCTGAGTAAAGGTCTCCAACCAGGATCATCGTCGGCTGTTGGTTGACATGGGATATCACTACGACTAGATTGGTGCACAGCTGTTAGACATGTTGTGCTTGAGATGGGTGAAAAACCAGAGGAGTGGTGAGCTGGTGGGCGGGTTCTTCCATCAAGTTCCTTCCCAACCTGCAACATGTGCTGTCTGGTGCCAGAAGTCACGTGTGGTCTTTCATATCATCCCCTTCAGAAAGAAGATAGAAGACAACGCCGCGCACCGGACGCACCCCGAGCAGATCATGGCTTTCGTGCCTGCTTTTTTGCAGCCGCGCGACTCTTTGGCCATGGCAGGTGGCCCCACAGACGTGCCACCCCCCCTACGATGTCACCACGCTTGACGCGCTCGACGCTGCAGCCGTCGTGAGCGTCCTGGGGATGGAGCCGCAGGGGCTGAAGGGGCCGAAGGGGAGGGCTGCTGAAATGGTGGTGGAAGTGGTGAAGGCGTGGTGGAATGGTTTCAAATTCAAAGAACCCAGGAAGAAGCTGCCACTGGAAGGCTGGGGCCATGAAGAGAGAAGGCAATGCTTTTTGGGTGTAAGTTACGCTCTGGGCGAGTGGCAGACATAGTGACCTATGAAGGGCTATTTTTATCTATTTTTTACGTTTCTGTTTTTGTGTGTTGCGTTCAGGGCATTTTTGTTGGATCTGCTTTTTGTTGCGTTTCTTGCTTTTCTAGCTCTTCCTGCCTCTTCTCCTGCTTTTCCTTACTTTCCTGCTTCTTGTCCTCTTGTGGCGTATTGTTTCTCTGTTTTCATTGCTTTTGTTGCCGTCGCCTTTTATCAGTTGCTTTCCAAGCCTAGCCTTCCACTTCCACCGCGGGAACGACGATAGAGAAACCACGACCACAAAAATATTCCCGGAACACAACGCAAAAAGGTCCTGAAACAAAACCGCACCCGTGACCTATTCGACATGTCTTTTCAACTGTGCTTGAAACAGGGACACCCACCGAAGACCTCTGAAGAATCGGACAAATACACTTCTCTCACACCATCCAGTGTGCCTTCGCTAGGCCGCTAGGTAATCATCAAAGCCGCCGGACTACTCAGTTTCCTTCAGCCAAAAGTACGACAATGAAACCCTGTCAAATCGTTTCGAAGACGCGCAACCGTGACGGCTGTGATCACCGTGAGGGTGACGGCTGCCGCAAAACCCGTGCGACGTGATACGATAAAACACATATGGATGAAAAGGCATTGTGTGCTGTTGACCACAATCTATTGAACCCTCCAAAAGCTGCAGATTTGCATTTTGTTGACAAGCACCTTAAGACCCTAAGACAGAGCCTTTGACTTGATTCATTTGATTTCGTTACTTGTGTTTGTGCTTTCTTTTTCACTGAACAGCTTCTCTGGGGCCAGCGGCTCCTCAGTTCAAGGTTCATGGAAGTCTTCTATTGGATGTTGATTTTCTTGATGACAGAAAAGAGAAGCTTTTCGATGCACCAGAATTTTCCAACAAGTCTGGTGGGTCCCTTTTGGTTACACATTATGTACTTCAACTGCCCCACAGTGGAGAAGATCTAGAGGTTCCACATCTTCTTCCTGGCCTTTTGGAAGGAACCTCTTCCACCCCAAATGACCCCAAAGTCTCTTTTGTTGTCAGTGGCACACCCACCGGTGGCACCCTTGCCTGGGCCACACTGCACGTAGCGTCAGGAGCTGCTCATGTCCCTTCTTAGTATTTCACTCAGCTACCACCCGTGGAAGGCCAGGACGGCGGCAATGGCTCTGGTGTTTCTTTAAGGGTGTGGCTATGCAACCGGGCTCGTTTGGCGAGCTGCAACCGGGGTTTGCTTTGCTTCAGATCGAAAGGATTCCAATCTGTTTGCTTCATATGAGGCCTCGGGGCCTTCTGAGAGGGTGTTCAGCACATGAACTCATGGGTGAAGGGTACGGACTTGCGCGTTCTGAGATCTTAAGCCGACAGAAAGGACAGGTTCTTTCTTTCCATTGCACAAAAAGGGTGTTGAATCATTTCGACTTCCTGCCTATTTGGGACCCTTGGCAGTCGCAGACATTCCCCTCTCTTATCTCTCTTGCTGTCGCCTCACATGTAGACCGACCTCTTCGACACGTGGTTCGCCTCCAGGTGATCTGGCTCATGCTGCCGCTGCTGGCGGCTGGGTGCGAAGTCCTGGAGGACTGAGACCCGAGACCCCGTAGGTCTGTGGCGGCGATCGGATCGCTTGGCCGGTTCCGGCGAAAGAACGATCGGAAGACAGCCCTCCGACATGGACAGCTCTTCTTTTTTTTTTTCTGACCTGAAGCCGTGAATGTGAAAGAGACTGCCACATCCCGGCTGCACATTCGAAGATCATTCCTTCACCTTCCTGAAGCAAAAAGGAAGCTTCACCCTGTGTCTTCCTTCTTGGGTCTCGAGCTTGTCTCCCACCAAGGTGTCAGATGGAAGCTGTAAAGCCCGGGCGACCCGGTTCTCGGTGGAGCCGAGACGTGCCGCTTCGAGATGTGGCGGGTCAATGCCCCAGGTCCCCCAAGCAGGTCTGTTACCGGCTCCCCAGCTGTCAATGACCTCCGAGGCCAGGTGCAAGCTGCCAGGAAGAGCACCAGCCACTTGGAGAAGAGCTGTATTTGCGGGTCAAGCCCTTCTTTGGGAGGGGGAGAAGCCGTCCGTACCTGAAGTGACGAGTTCTTTGTGGTGGGTATGTTGAGCCACAGCACTTTGGGGAACCAAAACGGGCAAAAAGGGTTCCCAGCATGGCACGAAGTTGTTTCGGACCTTTTTTGGAGCTATGCAGGTCTCTCTGGGCACTTGCCGCAGCGCTGGTGTTGATGCTCCAGGTGCGCCGCGGAAACGGCAGAAGTGGAAGCGATTGAGCACGCAGCTTCCTGGATACTTCTACGGATGCTAAGGTCAAGCAGCAGGAACGTGTGCCACGGGACCAGGGTAGGTACGCAGAAGCTTTTATTGCAGGAGTGGAGTTCCACTTCAGAGACGGTTTCTTGAAAAGAGAGACTTGAAGGACATTCCAGATGGTTGGCTGCATAAATACACTCCTGCTCTCTTACTCCTGTTTTCTTAGTCTGAGTATATGATATGGACATGGTGTGCGAAAACCCCTTCAGAGAAGAGAACAGTCATGACCTCATGTGGTCTGAGTAGCAGTAACAAGGGCATCGCCGCTATTACAAGTAGTCTTTCAGGGAGCTCTTTTCAGGATCAGTGCAGGATCCTTCCAGGTCGTTCTCCGTAGACCCCGTAGACCCCGCGCCGCGCAGATCTTCTTGATGTCCTGCCTGGAGGGCCAGGTGCTCCTCCCTGCGGGCTGCTTCCTTCTCCTGAACTTCGGCTGGAGACTCAGCGACGCTTCAAAGGGGGCAGCGCTGAAGAAAAAACCGGGGTGTGGCACAAGTGGATTGGTCCATCAACTGAGAGACGTCAAGATACTTTTTCATTCTTGGTTATGAAGCGCCAATAGGAGTAGCAGCCGTAGGCAATGCGAAGAACCAGCCCTTCCTTCTTTGGGCTTTCAGGGACTTTGGGCTCTCGGTGACTCATTCTCATGATTTGGGCAGTGTTGCTACGACATGATAATCCTTAGATGTGATGAGAAAGTCACTTCGTCAAAGGGACCAGGCATGCATGAAACCTGTGATATTGATATAGACAGCTGTTTGGCCAGGTATGCTGACTCAAAGCATTGTGGCTTAAAAACCGACCCCCCAAACCCCAGATTTATGTGAGTGCAACTCAGCCGATTCGTCTGCAGCGAGTGCGTTCTTGTGGAACGAGCAACACCACTGCGTGTTGCCTACTACAGTGGCACTGAAAAGACAACGAGTTCACTGAAACCATTGACATGCGTGAACCGTTAACCTGAGAACTTCCAAAGCTTCCCGCAAAAAGGCAGGGCAGCAGGGCAGCAGGGCACCCGCAAATGACCTCGTCGTTTGTGTCGTGTCGTGCCGGCGCAGCATTCCTTTTTCGGTGGAGTGGTGAGGTTTTAAGACAGAATAGAGGTCAAACTTGGTGCCCAACACCACTGCAGTCAAGGAAGTCTAGTCACTAGTCTTTCTTAAGTTCTGTCAGTTCTTCTGGAAGACACACGTTTGCTTTTTCTTGGTCTCACCGTTTCACTTTCACTCCGTCCAAACGGGAATCGGCTTATGGAAACAGGTTCCCAGGGTTTTTCTTCCACAAAAATGAGAGCCTTGCTCTGTAGGCCTATGGAGTAAGGCTGCCAGCTTTCCGCAGGAGCTGGGAAAGAAGGGCTGAAAGAGTTCAATCATGTTCAATCAAGCAAATCACCCCCTAAAGAACAACCCACCACATTTGTTATGTCTGCTTTTTGCGTTCGATTTCCTTCCAATGGTTTCTTGCATTAGGGCTCCAACTGAAAAGAAGTCAACCCCATGTTTCGTTGTTTTACCACCGATGCTTTCTCCAATGGCAGCAGTTTCTTCCGGCGAAACGAGTTGTCCCGATGGATCATCCAACTCCGGGCACCCAAATGAGACCTAGAAAGGCCTCCCATCGATCTTAGGTTGGAGGCCATCGCTAGTAGGTTGGAGGCCATCGCTCTTAGGTTGGAGACCATCGCTGGTAGGTTGGAGGCCATCGCTCTTAGGTTGGAGGCCATTGCTTCTAGGTTGGTAGGTTGGAGGCCATCGCTAGTAGGTTGGAGGCCATCGCTAGTAGGTTGGAGGCCATTGCTCTTAGGTTGGAGGCCATTGCTTCTAGGTTGGAGACCATCGCTGGTAGGTTGGAGGCCATCGCTAGTAGGTTGGAGGCCATCGCTCTTAGGTTGGGGCCATTGCTTCTAGGTTGGAGACCATCGCTGGTAGGTTGGAGGCCAGTGCTAGTAGGTTGGAGGCCATCGCTAGTAGGTTGGAGGCCATCGCTCTTAGGTTGGAGGCCATCGCTAGTAGGTTGGAGGCATCGCTAGTAGGTTGGAGGCCATTGCTCTTAGGTTGGGGACCATCGCTTCTAGGTTGGAGGCCATCGCTGGTAGGTTGGAGGCCATCGCTAGTAGGTTGGAGGCCAGGTTGGAGGCCATTGCTCTTAGGTTGGAGGCCATTGCTTCTAGGTTGGAGACCGTCGCTGGTAGGTTGGAGGCGATCCCTAGTAGGTTGGAGGCCATCGCTCTTAGGTTGGAGCCATTGCTTCTAGGTTGGAGACCATCGCTGGTAGGTTGGAGGCCATTGCTAGTAGGTTGGAGGCCATCGCTAGTAGGTTGGAGGCCATCGCTCTTAGGTTGGAGGCCATCGCTAGTAGGTTGGAGGCCATTGCTAGTAGGTTGGAGGCCATCGCTCTTAAGTTGGAGGCCATCGCTCTTAGGTTGGAGGCCATCGCTAGTAGGTTGGAGGCCATCGCTAGTAGGTTGGAGGCCATCGCTAGTAGGTTGGAGGCCATCGTTCTTAAGTTGGAGGCCATCGCTCTTAGGTTGGAGACCATCGCTGGTAGGTTGGAGGCCATCGCTAGTAGGTTGGAGGCCATCGCTCTTAGGTTGGAGGCCATCGCTAGTAGGCCGCCACCATCCCAGGCTATGCAGCCGCTGACGCATGCCTCCCAGTCGCCTTGGTCACTTCATGCGCGAGCACGACGCGGAGGACATTGCGGAGAACGAGCTGGTCACGACCCGCGCGCCTACAGGATCGACGCCCTATTCGATCCTGTACCGCGTGGCAGCGATGATTCGCGTCGACAGCGGGGCACCCTCCCACAAGCTGCCTCGACGCAGGCGCTACTTTTTCGCGGTACTTTTTCTTACATGTTCCCTTCTTGTTCTTGCCCCCTGGAAGGTGATTTATTCCCTGCGCTGTGCACTTGCCACTGACACTCGGGCAGCGCTGGTAAAGGGCGCTCCACGCTGCTGCTGCGGGCTTCTTCTCGTGACTGCCGTTCTCTAACATGTTCATTTCTACCCGACATATCCGGTTTAATTGCACCGTAGCTCCTCCCTCCTCGCACTGCCCCCGGGCTTCGTGTCATCATGGCGCTATACCTTCTGCGTTTTTCTGATTTTTCCCCGCGGTCTTCACGACTGGAGACTGTTTCACAAACCCCTTGAGTTTCCAGTAAGACATCCCACAGAAACACCTTGCAGGCGGTAGCTGCTACGTTCGACGCCACCTATATCACCAATTAACTACGTCGCAGCCGCCCCACAAATTAGCTCGTTCTGAGCTGTTGCAGGTCTTTGCGCTTCATGGCTGCCTCGCTCGGTGGGGGACGTTCAGCTGGGAAGCATCGAAAGCGCTGCCTGCCAGGTGAGACTGCTGGTGTCATGCTGTTCGAATTAGGCTACCAATATTCTAGGCTATTAGTGGACTTGTCATGTACTATTTCTCTCCTGCGGATATCATATCAAAAATACATTTCACTTTCCGACAGGAAACCGCTTTGCTGCGTGGTGTGGAGTGCGGAGATCATTGGCTTGAGGTGACAAAGAAATCTCTTGGTTATTGGGGCATCACTATCTCTGAAGCCGGAATCGAGACTCTAGGTAGTAGCATGGGCACACTACCGAGGACCCTTGGAAAGACAGGTCGATGCCAGACGCATTTTTGGACCTCCCAGAACGCATGCTATCCCAGAAACACCCTGGCCAATGCTTCCAAAGATGGCTAGCCTGAGATAGCTTTGCAAATAGTGTTGCCACAAGAAGGGACGAAGGATCTTCGCTATAGTTGCTGAGGTGCAGTCAGGGTTGGTGGCAAGATGTTGTGGCAGTCTGTTTTCTAATTCTTCATCCGGCTGGTGGGCCCAGCGCCAGCAATAGCACACAACTTGACGCAATGCTTCGGTTCTTACTTTTCAGTCCTTGGCGGACGAAGAAGTGCCCCGTCGGGCACTGCCGAACCTTGCCAGCTCGGTGCTCAGCAGAGCGCTCGGGCGCCGCCCGAGCGGAACGGGGGATGTGGCCGATGATGTCCGCTTTTCGAAGGAATGGGGGCCTATACCATGGGGCTACATTACTCAGCATCGCGCTCGGGTGCCGCCCGAGCAGATCCGCTTGTCGAAGTAATGCAGGCCTACCATTCGGCTATATTCATTCTGGACATGTACACAGAATATATGTATCTAATTCTCATTTAAGTACAATGTGTATAAAGCGAGCTTTTGAATTTTGCTTCTCTAATTTTGCCATGGCCAGATTTCGCCAGTGCTGCGGAGATGCGGGATTTTTTTTCGTCGGCCTGAGGTATCCTGTCGTGATTGGCGAATGGCAACCCCGAAGGCCCTTAGCAAGCAAAGTGCCTGTAGTGGATTCCGCGTAGATGGCGCAGGCATGCCCAGACCCGAAGATGTTTTTGGCTATAGGGGGCGATATACACGTACATACACCACTTCTTGGGGTATATAACTTATGCCGTCGAACCTTTGAAACCACTTTTCTACATGGTTTATCCAGCCAAGAGTAATGCGATGGAGACAGGTGTGATAGGTGACAGGAAAGAACTGCAGGAATCCTGCCTGTTTTGACCCTAGGTCTGCGCATGGATGACGTCCTACTAGTTGGACACACATCTTCCATGCGTTGTAGTTCTGTAGCCCGCCTGTCCATGTCCACGATTAGAGAGCCGGACTTGGACGCACCCTTGCTCCACATGGCACAGCGACATATACACTCGTATGTACTTGTATTGGACATTGCTCACATTCCGATGTTCAAGCCTTGCATACTTGTTTTTCCTGTCATGCAACCAATCATGCCACCGATCAACTCCTCCTCCCAGACGTCCGATCCTCTCAAACCCTCCTACACACAGCCAGACACGTCCAGGCCCCAGACGTCTGATTCGCTCTGATCGACCCAAGGTGGAGGGCGCCGCAAAGAGCTTCGACTGGAACCGCAGCGAGATCGATCAGCGCTGGGGCTGCTCCACATGCCACTTGCATGTTTCTGCACTATTCTTTTGCCTTCAACTCCCAGAACCTTTCATGTCATGGCTTCCCACCCACAAGTGAAACACGTTCACACGGCGCTTGTGTCGATCCATCAGATTCCACGGGTTGCCGACGTCCCACGGAAGCCCCAGTGGGCTACTTCGACCCCAGGGGCTTGGCAAGAGACCATGGACTTTGTCATGAAATATTTCGCAAGTCTCTGAGGGGTTTATTTTTGGTTTAACTCCACAGTAAACTTTGTGAATGACGCAGTTTTTTCTTTTGCAGATATATGATTCATCAAGGCCATGATAAGATTGCGTTGCAGGCGACGCAACTTACCCAGATGGCTTCCTTTTCCGGTTTCTCCATCCATCCCAAAGTCAGCTTCGGGCCTTGTGGTTCCAGGTTCATGTCGTCAACCGCTCCAGACTCCGCCTTTGGACGGAGATCATTTCTTCGCCTACGCGGCAGCGCCGACCTTTGCCAGAACGGGGACGTGAAGCCCTTCCGCCGTCTTCGAGAGAGCGCGCTGCAGAACGGCCGCGTGGCGATGTTTGCCACCATAAGCCGCACCTTGGTCGGGGGTGGTGCTTGGTGACTATCAGTGACTCATGGACAGCTTGGTAGATGGCTGACTCGTCCATGAAAGGGTTGCATGAGTCGAGGAATGACATGCATTCTGATGATTCTTCATGTTGAACCGAATCACCCTGCCGTAGTGCTTCCGCTTCCCTGGGTACTCTCGTTTAGTCCCCTGATCCTCCGTCGTGTTCACCGCGAACATGCGCGCGCCCGAGCAGTTGGGGCCCTGATCGAGGCCTGCCAGGGGACTCAAGTTTGCTGATGTACCACATGCCTTGGCAGCGCTCTCCCTGGCTTGGCCGCGGCTGACCAGACGCAAACATGAAAACAAAAAGGGCCGCCACCTCTTTTCCGCTTCCCGCTAGCTTTCGTCACCTACCCCCGGCCTCAAGTAGGTTGGAGGCCCTCCAACCTACTAGCTAGTAGGTTGGAGGCAATCGCTCTTAGGTTGGAGGGAGGCCATCGCTAGTAGGTTGGAGGCCATCGCTAGTAGGTTGGAGGCCATCGCTCTTAGGCTGGAGGCCATCGCTAGTAGTAGGTTGGAGGCCATCGATAGTAGGTTGGAGGCCATTGCTTCTAGGTTGGGTGCTTCCGGTTGGAGGCCATGGTTAGTAGGTTGGAGGCCATCGCTAGTAGGTTGGAGGCCATCGCTATTGGGGTAGGGCTCCTTGGCCTGGGTATGCCGAATTCTCACTAGCTCGACCGAGTGAGCTAGTGAGTTGGTGGGTTGTGGGAAGATCAGGAGTGGGTCAGGGAACCCTATTCCTCGTTTTGGACATCTCAGTGATATACTATATATATATACATACATACACAGTACATATATATATATAGTTATAAGTAAAATTGCTTATATATATATATGATTATATATATATATATTTGTATATGTGTATGTATGATACATACATGTATCGATTCATGGATTCATGGATGAGGTCTCTTTTACTTGCGTGCCCTGAACCAGGAGCTCCCGAGGTCTCCCCTCGAGGAGGTGTCCGTGGTCGCCCCTGAGGAGGCGTTGGTGGCAGTTTCTGGTGGCAAATGGGGTAGGTGCATTGCAACCGGTTTAGCGGCTGTGGTGCTGTGGTGTCGTGTTTTGGGTGGGTGATGGTGATTTTTGGGGTGTTGGTTTGTTGGATGCTATTGGTGTGTTCTTCGGTCAGGACTTGGGGGCGAGGTTTGGAAGAAAGTTGGGTCACGAAAGGCGGGACGGTACTGATGGTTACACCCCCTGAAACAATCATGGAACCGGAAAATGGCTCCTGACAAGGCCATATCCCTCTACAAAACAGGTCTTTTCCACCTGCAGGGACTGGATTAAACATGATGAAACCCGATGTACCAGGACGCTACGCACGGGGGAGGGCATCGTTATTAGGTTGGAGGTCATCACTAGTACCACATGAGGGACCGTCCTACCTCGGTTTGACTGGCTCGGCTGGCCGAAACAGATTTGCCCAGTGACCGCATTAATGAGGAAGATGGAGGAAGATGAATGACAGGGAAGGGTTGGTTGAGGTTTCCGTTGGACTCTTTTTCTTGGCATCTTGCTGCAGTGCAGCAAGATCCTCAAGAAGTGATTTCTACACTTCCAAAAGAGACGGGGCCCCAAACGGCGCATGCCTTCAGGCTCTGCTATGCCACACGCCATGGGGTGAAGAACAGTTCACGCCATGGCACTCTCTGTGCGGGATACGATGGATGGGGATGGATGTTCCAATTCCCCCTTACCACCTGGACGAACGCTCCGGATCCTCCATGTCGACACCAACCGGTGAGCTCGCTACGAGTACAAACTGTCGGTGCCATCGCTACGAAGGGCCGCCAGAAGCGACGACTGTCCGTAGCTCCGGGCATTACGGCGTTCTTCCGCCTTCATCCGCGTCGAACACACCACGGTCGCCAGGTGAGCCCGGAGATCCCCAACACCCTAGCGGCGAGCCGAGTGTTGCGCACCGGTGCACTGGTGGGAGGTTTCCTCCGAGCCCGATGGATCAGGAAGAACATGGTGTTCAGTAGTTCAAGAGGGATCTTTTTTGGTAGTTTTCTGCAAGTTCGGAACAGTTTGTAGAGGAAGCAACAACATAATTTTTCACAACAACAGCGAAGAAGGACACCAAGCATATGAGCTCACATCTTCAGATCTTGGGCTGATGAGGTGGAGATGGAGCTGGAAGAGATGTGCAGCATTTGCTTGAGGCCTTTGGTCGGAAAGGATTGCCTGTAAAGGGTGTCACAGTCACTCAAATGGACTCATCCGGCTTGGATTTCAGCATCGCGGCAGGTTTGCCACTCCTGAACACTGGTAGACTCACCCTAGCACCAGCTCCCGGGTCCCCCACCCATTCCCACCCCTTGCCCGGTGCGGAGGCCGTTGGGAGTCGAGCCGCTCCGACGACTGCACTGTGGGCATGCCGGGGAAGCCCAGTCACCGCGCGGAAGCAATGCGCAGTCACCGTGCGGAACGTGCGCGCGCAGTCCGTCAGGTTTCGGAGGTCCGCCAACCCGAACATGTTGGCTGCGAAAGGGTCGGATTCCTCATTGTGTCAATCTTTTTTCCGATCGCCAGGCCCTGATCACAACTCTGGGCCGCCCGATTCCTGAGGCTTTCCACCAGGGCTGCATCGATCCTTGGCTTCGCGTGGGGCCGAGATGCAACCGGTGGGTGTGCGGAGGTGCAGCACAGGTTAATGAACCAGTTGATGGATCTCATCAGATTAAGTAACTGTGGACATTCATCAGACTCCGGCTGGAAATTGTGCGCCCATGGTCCTCAGGTTGTACAGAATTATTTCAACTGACTATGTCACACCTTGCAGGCTCAACAGTTTGCTGGCACTCATCAGGGAAGTTCCAATTTCCCCTGCTTCACTGTTTCAGTGCAGGTCTTATGAGAAGAGATTGAAAGAATGGACACTGGATACATGCTGACCGCAAGAAAAAAGAGCGCAGCATTCTTTCGTCAACTCACAACATCTCCTTCATCCTCCAAGTGAAGGGTCGTCAAATCGGGCAGACCCGGCGTTGAGACGGACGGATGGACTGGGGAGACCCAGGCAGTGTGAGACGCGGCGAAACCCGGTTGTGTGAGGTGGCCCAGAGTGTGAGTTGCCGAGTTCATTTGCTTCGAAGAGTGTCAAGTGAAACATCTACCGAACCAAACAAAGCATGATTTTGAGCTTGTCAAAGAACCAGGGAGTCTTGATTTGACTGGTTTCAACGGATTTCATCCTTCCAAGGGATTTCACGGCCTCCGTTGTTGTCATAGGCTTTCGCAAGATGATTTTCCTGTATATGCCGGGTGTTTGGCAGGTACTGCCAACGAATTCAGGATTGTGATTCATTATGTACAATCTACAAGCATTATATATTTGGGAGACCCCCAAATCATCCACTTAATGGGTTGTTGAATCATAAACCATCCGTTCTCCATATGCACCAACATCGTATCTCTCAGAAACTTGATTTTCGAAGCCTTGAACCAACTCCCAGGCCTGAAATTTACAGGCAGTGACTTCGATTTTTTCGCGAGTCAAAGGAATGGCACAGCAGAGGATGTTAACATCCACACATATATTTTACTATAATATACTATACTATATTTTATCATACCGAAGTTACATTAAATGATACGAGGTTATTTTGTTATATGATATTAGACTCGATTAGATAAGATCATACACATACACAGTGATGAGGTGGTCTATGTTTGTGAACACCACCGGATTAAACTCATGGGGCATTGGAATGCTCCGATGACTCTAGACCGACCCGATGTCCGGTGGATTGGATCTGACCCAGCCAGAAAGAAGACGACAAACCATCACGTTTTTTTTTTTTTTGACGGCTGAATAGTGTACCCTCCTTCTAACAATGGGCCCCTGGAAATACAGTGGATGGTTTTTACTTATTGTATTGTTATTTTTGTTATCTATCTATATATATATATAGACAGTTTTTTGTTCTTTAATCTTATTTTTTCCCCACACAGTTTACTGTTGGGGTTAGAAAAAAGAGCTGGCCACACTGACTGGCCGCGCCCCTGAACTCTGCGGCCGGGCTCTGTGACCGGGTCTTGTCCTCCTCTTGTCTTCTCTTGTCCTGCTCTTCTCTTGTCTTCTCTTGTGGCCGAACAATTAGCGATGTCGATGCCAACAAAATCATTGATAAATCCTTAAGCAGTTTGCTCTTGGGGGAGAGGTAGGGCGTACCAAGAAATCGTGTTTGACTTATATTGGTCCAAGCGAATCGTTTTGAGGCTGTTTGGGGTCTATGCTGGTAGAGTTTTTTACGACAAGACTTGAGGTCAGGATCTCTCGTTGCCGAACCAACTAAATCACTGCCCAAGCCCAGAGTACCTAAGCTGTGTTGATGCAGTTAAACTCTGTTGTTGCAAGAAACCAAAATCTCCCCAGAAATCAACCTGACTTTCACATCATGTGCATCTGCTAAATGTTCGATGTACTTCTACAAGTGAACGAGTCGAACAACAAAGGACTCACCTTGAATCCAAAACAGAAGCAGCCCACGACTCCGCGGTTGGGACCTGATCTTCCGAAACGGACCGGACCCACGCAGCACGACGAGCGGAGTGCAGCTCGTTTCGAGGCCCCATGCGGTGCGAAAACCCGCAGGCGGAACCCGAGGGAACGGGGTTCGTGTTACGCTGGTGGGAGGGTGGGAGGATGGGAGTGTAGCTGGTGGAAGGGGTCCAAGAGATAGATGTAAGTTTTAACATCTTAAAGTCTTAAATAGTAATTTCAACACAGGTTATCATGTTGTCCTGTGACCCAGTTCGATGATACTAGAGCAGTTACATGAAGTTCTCATGGATCCGCGCAAAGGGATTTGTGAGGAGGAATCAAGATCCCTTTTCATGGCTGCGGGTCTTTCTAGACGGGAACATGAGTGTTCAGGCGAGAGGCGAGAGGTCTTTTTGCAGGTGTTTCTTCACCAAGACCTTTCGCTTGTAAGACACCCACAGAGCGATCTACAAATGGCTCAAGCTTGCCAGAACACCCGAGGTGCCCCGGGCTCCGCTTCAACGGAACCGCTTGGCGGCGGTGGGTGGCGCCTGATCAGGCACTTTTGGGCTAATCCGTGATTCATGAAGGAAATACTGAAGCCACAGAACGTCACCAAGGTCCCGATGAGTTTTGTAATGATTCAGAGAAAGAGAGAGAGAGAGAGAGAGTGTATGAGTGAGTGAGAGAGAGAGAGAGAGAGAGTGAGAAAGAGAGAAAGAGAGAAAGAGAGAAAATAGAGGCGGCACTAGATTCAATTAACAGAGCAGGGTGCCATGAACGCCAGGGCGATTCGAGAACCCTCGACACGTCTCTTGTGGTTGTTCTATTTTGAGGGCCCACGACACTGGGATTTTCTGTGCTTTTAAGTGCAGAATTGTGATATCGAATCTATTGCAGAATTGATCTGAGAGGAGGTGTTCTTCTTAGACCTTTTCCAGACGAAGACACAAAGATGAATTCATGGTCTCATTTCGCACCTGAGCCTTTGGTACTTGTTTTTGGGATCAACCTTCGCTGACGAAGCATGCAAGGAGATCAACCACCAACACAGCTCCGAAGTGTTGACTTGCCTAGCCAATAAGCTTCCGGGTCGACCTCCACAGCTACGGCGTGGTAAGCACTCTTAAAAGATGTCCAGAGGAAAGGTGCTCAAAAAGGGTTGGCAAACTTTTTCATCTGGTGACCGGAGACACCTTGCGAGCTGGATTGGACCTTAGTGATGCAGCTTGTGAGGGTGCTCATCGATAGCCACAGGTGGCAAAAACACCTAAGACCAGGATAGTCCAATGAAACCTGGGACCATGTCCAAATGCTCAGACTTCTTGGTCTGTCACACCTCGTACATGGGCCCGACCAGTCGCCCGAGCCTGCACCAGGTAGGGACTTGGACTCGACTAATTCATGCAAGCAGATCTATAGGGCTCTAAAAATGGCACGTCGGATGCTGGAGCTCACCTTTCACAAACTGGTGCCGTGGTGAGAAACTCCACATCCCATCTTGGGTTAGTCAAACCTGACATGTTGATGAGGACAATGTGGTTGGGAGTTGGGCTGGCATGCTTCACGCGGGCCCGTGCACATCGCGCCCGCCGAAGCAAGTGACCCCCTCTCAAAGAGCCACGACATCGACACCACCTGAGGAGTGGTAAAACCATTGCTCGTTGCACAGATATCGAATTCAATCTGCATCACGGGATGCGGTTGCAAGGTTTTCAGGGTCCCTGGGCCAGTGGGGCCTGTGGGTTTCCAGGTAGTGAGGCGCCTTTTGTTTGTTCAAGATCAAAAGAATAGCACATCAGAGTCATCAGAGAGATGCTACTTGCTGGAGAATGTGTGTTTTGCTTGCAAAAGACCGACACTTAACACGGAGTTTTTGGAGAAATGGCGGACGAAACTGACGTCGCACACATCTCACGGTCCACGTCGCAGTCTCGGTCTGGTCCACGGAGCCCTGTGGTCGTCGGAGAGGCCTTGGCCCTCTGACCCCAGGGGTGAAGTGATTCCTCCAACCCTGAAACTGAAAGCTTTCTGGGGGGGGGAGAGTTACATATATACATTGGGTTATCTGATTGTAAGCCTACCATGGAGTTGGAACCTGGATCTCACTCTACTTGGACATCTTGGGCAACAAAGAAGAAGTCACCTTAAGGTTGCGCAAAACATGGACCGTGACATCCAGCGGTTTGTAGAGCTTTCGGTTCTTGCAGCGATCCATTCTCAGTACCCTCAGGGTCCGTGCTAGTTTTGGTGGTTCGTGTTGATTTGGATCCACGGGTGGTGCAGACCATGAACATCCATGAAACAAATCACAGACTGCTAAAAGCTCCATTTCATTTGTAAATGGAACCTAAGAGCAATGGCCTCCAGTCAAAAAACGCCAATGGCCTCCAGTCCAAAAAGCGATTGCTAGTCCAAAAACACCGGTCAAGATGATATGGAAACCACAGCCACAGACCTCGCCGGTCGTCGGTGAGTCACCCAACGCCAGCTCGACGGAAGATCGACGAGGGCAACGGGCAGCTTCTCCAGACGGCAGGGCAGCGGGCAGCTCGAGCGCTGCACAGGATGATCTCAAAACAGAATCATCAGGGGTTTGGGGGGGGGGAGTGTGGGACACTCAGGGGTTTGGAGTGTCCAACCCCTCCACAGCAGTGTCAATCCCCTGAAGAGGCGTTTGGGCTAATGAGGATTCGTGCCAGACTTTGTAACTTGTAACTTCCAGGTCAATGCACTTCTGCCTGCTTGTCACGTAGAGGGATCCCAAATCTATGACCCAACATCACACAACTCATCCTCCAGTATTTCGAAATAAAGACCAATTAGATTGAGTCTCAATCCTCACCCATAGCAGCTGAAGAGACCGTCACAACAGCCCCTTTTGCCATGCTTGGAGAAGTAGAGCCCGGTGGTGGGTGTCCACCAGCAGAGCCCAGCTCAAGCGTGTCTCAGGCGTGTCTCACGAGCACAGACACAATGGAAGCTATCCATCCATCCGCTGGCCTTCTAAGCCATTCGCATTGGGTCGCGGAAGCCGATGTTCTCCATGCCTGGTGACGCGGCAGGTGGTCAATCGGAGATTTCTGTGCAAGTGATCGCAGCCAGAGCAGCTTAACAAGCTCCACGGTTTTCCAGGTTGGCCAGATGCTTTGCTAGGAGCTAATGGCATCGGGGGTTCGTTGGAATTTGTTTTCAGAGCGGGCTCTTCAGAGGGTGTGACCAGTCATTCTGACCCTGTAAATCTTACATCCGTACCATCAGTTTGATCCAGAGCTGTCAGTCCTAGATGACCTCCCAAGTCACCAAGAGAGGCCCAACATGGTCAGTGCCAAAAAGGAAGTCCGGCAAAGAGTGAGAAAGAAGAACAGCACCTTTGGCAGCTATTTTAGAGAATTCTCAGGTGAGCCATTAAGAAGGGGCCCAAGCTGCTTACCGGCTGGCACACCAGCACTGTCCGGTGTGCCGGGCTTTTTTCAAACAGCTTAGCCGCGGATCCCACCATTTGGGGCCAGAAGCGCCGCTGGCAAAAAGGGCAGACGGACCGGACTGAGCATTAACGGCCACGATTTCGGGTTCCATGTGCTTTAGGCATGCTGGGTGCATTCCAGAGTGAACTAGGATATATTTGACTAATGAGGTTTGTGCAGTATGTGAAGACCCCCGCACCGGGAGAAATATGTAAGTGTTTCTATTGGGGCCACATCGAGCTGTATGATGCAGCATTTTCCAGTAATCCACAGATGCCCACCCTGGCCCAATGTTGGGTCCAACAATTACCAGAAGAATCAGTGACTCAGAGAGGCAACCATCAGTCACTTCAATGACCACGTTGCACAGCCATCCCCCAGGCCATCCCCCCAGGCCTCTCCGATCTCGACCTTGGCCGATTGGCCGACCGTCGACCGTCCTCCTGTCAGCTTTGCGAGCCCATTGACGTGACCATGGACGCGCAGGGCGCCCTCTATGTGGCCGACAACGGCCCGGGGGGACGGCGTTTTTAGTGAGGGGTGTGGTTTGACCGGTTCCCCCTGCGGATTGAGAGCAGGTTTGGTGTTTCTTTTTTTTCTTTTTGGAGGGGGTTCAGGGTCTTTGTTCATGTTCAAATGGTCAACCCAGGTAGCCTTGTTTGAATATGTTCCTCCTTCTTTTGTTGGGATCTCCGTGCTTTCGACTCGCACCCAAGGGTCCGATCGGTAGGCATACACCCCAAAGCATACACCTGGCCAAGGGAGAAGCATACCAAAACCCGACCCCCCGGCCCCCACTATCTCTTCCAATACACGTAGAAAGAAACACCTGGACTCTGAGAATCTCAGCTAGTACCTGAGATCACTCACTTCAGGGCCTGGAAGAAGACCTGGCAGGTCTTCTTCCATAAAGAGCTAGTTGAATTTCTTCTCCTTTCACGCCGATGCTCCATGGTCGCAGGGAATGCTCGAGTGGCCTGTGCCTCAGTGGGAAAGTCAGGTGTTCTCTTCATGACCAGTCAGCTGTTCTCATTGGTACGAGGGGAGGTCTTCATCCACCGCTCGTAGGTGCCTGCTGTTGATCACGCCAGCCACCGTGGCTCACCTCACTCCACCGGTTCCGTCCTGGTTTGGAACCCACGCCGCACCATGCCGGGGAGGTCCGTTGGGCGGCACCCTGTGCGCCCTATGAGCGCATCCTGCCCGGGAAACCCGGTCTCTCCGGCGTCCGGCGGGCCCGGGCGTGGTCGAGTGGGTCATTTCGAGGCGTCCAGGGCAAGTTTTCGCATCATATTTCTAGACTTATATTTGCGGGTCTAGTTTTTCTAGTTCTCTATTCTTTTTTCCGCTGGTCCTCAAATAAGTCACTTGCCATTATGCACCTTATGCATGTTGACTGCGAACAACGTGAACCCAACCCAACCCTGTGGAGATGTTTGGTGGAGTCTCCCATCCTCAGTATGGACTCGTATGGACTCAGAGAGTGGCCCGCCAGCTGAGGCCGTGTGCCAGTGGTTTCTGAGGTGGGACCAAGGGATGGAAGGGCCCTAGTTTGGCCATGTTTGGCCATTATTGCATTGGTCTAGACCCTCCCTGGATCGAAATAGTTAGGTCATGTTAGGTCAGATCACCCAAGGGTTTGGTTTGGAAGATCAGAATTCTCTCTACGTCAACTTCATCACATATTATATATATATATACAGAGATGTGGAGGTCTTCCAGATGTTGCACTTCAGGTTGGGCGACTCTGACTCGTGGGTCTACTAGTATATTCTATTCAGCGATGCTTGGGGAATCACACTTGACCACCTGTCGTCATTCCTCCGGCCTTGGACAGGAATGGAAATGCCAACGAAGCCTCAAGCAACCCCAACGAAGCCTTCGACGAGTGGTCTCACATACCTTCGACGACCAATGGACATCAATCTTCTCACAGTTAGCAGATCAAACATCTTCAAAGTCATCAGTCTCACGGTTAGGAGGTTCTTTTCGTGGAGATGGTTTTTCACCGGAGACCATCGACATGACGTGCCCATCGACCTGGAACTCCAGCGAGTTCCCCCCCAAGAATCGCCGAAGTCGCAGGGACCGAGCCACCGCGTTGCGCCTTGCAGGCCGCAGGCCGCGCCTTGGTGTTCGTTGAGAAGAAAGCGGAACAAAGCAGTCTGCAGTTTCACATGATTTAGAATCCACCCTGTGGCGGTTTCCGCGGAATCCAGGCCTCCACGGTTCAGGAAGCAGTGTTTCGGAGGTTCTCGGAGGTCACTCCGCATGGCTTAGGCATCAGCCGTTTCAGCCATGTTGCTGTATCCTTCTTTTGCTGAAGCCCAGGTTTGGAGCATCGTTTTTCCAGGTCGACTCAGGTCTTCTGTGCGAGAGGGCTCTTCTTTGGGGCAGAGTTCAGTCTGGAGATGCCACTCCTTGGGGTCGGACTACAACGAGGTCGGTAAATGCAGTCAGCCAAGCTGTGCAGTCAGCCGATCTGGACACAAAGTAAATACGACTACAATGAAGCGTCATAATAATTAATAACAGCAACAGCATCCCAAAGCTGGGCTTTATTCGCAGAGATGCCAAGTGAAGCTTGGAAGTTTGACCAAACCTGGGATTTCGCTCGTTGAAGGGCATGGCCAGGCTTGGGGAGGTTGCCGAAAAAGTTGTTGCCAAGAGCTGGCGAGCAGAGGGAAGCAGCACGCAGCCTGTGGAGTGTTGCAAGTGCATGAGATCTGGGTGCGTGTTTTAATAGTGGACCCCTCAACCAAAGGTGTTTTGGTCGATATTCTTTAGCGGATCTATTCTAATACCCATCTGAGCAGAATCTGGGTATCGCGATCTAGCACCGGCCAAAACAAATCAGGTCCTGCTGGTTTCTCTGCATAGCCATGCCGTACCCATCTGACAAGCGGACAGGTTGGGGGCCAAGGGTGAATAAGTGAAACCCAGTGACATGTGGTCAACTGTTAGTTTGAAAGGAATCAGGAGTGGACGAGTTGGTCTCTTCCAAGAGTCTGCCTCCAACGTCCCGACATCCTGGAAAAGTTCCAACTCCGCGGGAGTGGACCTTTGAGTTCATGTTAGGAGCTCCTGCATGCTTTCTTTGTGAAGCCTCCCGTCATTTTCGTGCATGGTTCAAGCTTATTATTACTGGCATGGCAAGGTGCACATTGCACATCCTTGACAGTTTGTTTGGAAAGCCTCTCATCATGCATTCCAAAATTTCTGCAGGTTGTTGAAGTACTTTGCCCCAGGATCGTTCAGGATGATTTAGTCATCTACCAAAGCCAACTTGGCAAGTTATCCCAGGACTTGTTGATGCAGAACATGCCAGAGGTGTCTGGCCCAAAAAGGGACGCTTCGTGCTTCACATCACTGCGATGAAACGCCATCATCATCCCTAGACCCCTCCAGATTTCATGGCTGAGGCCGGAGTGTTGCGGCCTTTGCTGGATTTGGTCATTGTGGCTTTCAACCTTTTTCGTGGCAGATATATTGTTCAAGGTTCCTGCTTGGGTTTACTAATCGAAATGAGATTTCCAATTGAGGTACCTTTTGAGTTGTAGGGGATAAGTAAAGGAATATAAATACATATATATATATATATACATGCAGGTACCTGATAAAGAGGCTTGCAAAGTAAGCCTTCTGGTTTTCCCACGAAATCATTTTCCACAAGATAGGCCCTTCGTGATTGCTCATTTTGGGAAGGAGCAAACCTGAAGGACCCACTGGTCTTGTGGGTGTCAAAGCAAGATCACCTAGAACAAGAGCTGCTTTTTCTTGGGGGTCCACACAGTCCACGCCCGATCGTGGCAAACTGGCCAACTCTTCGCGTGGAGGCCGAGGAGCTGCCGGAGGACTGGTTTTTTCAGAGCTGCCGGGCTGCGCCTTTGACTAACCACACCCAGCCCCCGCCCTCTTCAGAGACATCCCAGTGGCCCCATGCCTGGTGTCGACCTCGGCCATTTCCTCGCCCTTTCCATTTTGGAGACCTCAGCTGGTGTGGATCGTAGCCATTACCATGGCACACAAGTGCAAGATGAGGACTTCCAGCATCCATTGGGCTGCAGTTATAGTATGTTGTATACATATATATATATATATACAATCACATATTGACCCTTAATTTACCTTGAACCCCACGTTGAATCATGATCATGGGGTGTAGATCAGCCAATGGAGAATTGGGGGTGCGTGAACATGTGGCTGTTGCTTTTTGGGCAGGACACGTCGGTGGGCATTCCACTGGGACCTTCGATTTCATCAGGCCGCCACTCTTTTGTGGTTGACATGCGTTTGGAATAGACAGCGACAGGTGCGAGTGAATTTGCAGGCAACATGGAAAGGTGCCACACCTTTAATTAAGAATGATTGAATATTGGTATCGCGGCTTGTGACGCATCCCACCGAGCCCTTCGTCGTGTTCTATGATAGGTGCTGGGGTGTGAATGCGTGAACATTCACATATGCCATACATGTGGTGAGCCATGAGCCAAGCGTTTCTTTGACGAACTGCCAGGTGCAGCTGCCAGTGATGCAAACTACTGCTATTTGATCCTTTTCAACCTCAACAAGACACGGGACGCCTTTGCTTCAGCACGTTTTTGTTCAAAGGTGGTTCTATTTGATGAGAGGGCCTTGTCACCGAGGTTGCCGTTCATGAGGCGCCTTTAAGGAGGCTTTCTTTGGTTTTCGAAAACATCACCATCCATCCCACAAAGCAGATGTGCCTCTCAAGTTCTGACGGAACATGCAGGGACTAGTAGCTGGAAGCATTTGACTGCTAGCCCAAGCCTGGACCATCATGCAGGTTCGTCGGCCAGTCGGCCAACGTCGGGCCCCTCTTGTGAAACACCAAGAGTCCACCGAGTCCTCGCATCTCTTGCCACGGAAAGTGTTGAGGTTTGGTGCTCAGGGGAAGCCCCAGGTGAAGCCAGGGAGAACTTGAGGGCAAGCGCCGAGATTTTGAGATTGACCCTTCTAAAGGCGACGGGGGATCAACTCGAAAGTTCAGTTCCACATTCCATGTGCAATTGAGGATCCATGAGTAGTAGTGTAACAAAGATCAAAGGTTTTTGCTAGGGGTTCCTGCATCCCCAAACCGAAATCTCCTTTGGGTGTTGTCGTGGTTGTGTCGAGCTCCTTTTTTTGGTGAAACCGACATTGGAAACTGCAACGTTCTGCAGCTTCACCCAGTTGAAGGGGCAGAACGTCTCCGCTATCCAAGGAAGAACAATCTGGGCGCCATTCTCCGCTCTGCAGCAGCCTTCGGCGTGCGCTTGGTGCTGCTGGTCGGGCGCCAGGGCTTCAAGGTGTGGAGGGTGGACAGTCTCGTGGGTTGAGTTTTGGAGGAAGCTTGGACGTGCCAGTTTCTAGTCTCTCTGACTGTCAAGCTGCTTTACATGCCTTGTTAAGTCTTGGTTCATTCTGGGGTGTATGGACGAGCATTCCCGGAAGCTTCGCAGAGTCGGTGGCTTTTGAGTTGAGAAGTGTTGCGGGTCCAACTGTGCCTGCGCTGGTGTGCCAGCCGGCCAACAATAGCTCTTCTGAGGACATACATACCTGGATACTGCTGATTGACTTCGTCTAAGCACCACAAAAACCTTTAACGCCTGTTGTTGTGGACTGACTAAATACCGTATATATATATATAACATGGGGTGATGCACCATTCAAAGAGCGGAGAGCAACAGGGCTCACAGAAATTCGAAGGAGCAGGGAGAGCTAGGACCAGACCCTGTTTTTGCTTTTCAGGCTAAACCATTTGGCCTCAGGGTTAAGCCTACTGTGAAACAACTTTGAAGTGAGAACCATCCACCACGCTGGAGGCCTTTTGCAAGAAGAGTGGACAGGGTGTCGTGCCAATTGAGACGCTTGACGGGAAAGCCGCATGGGAGAGGTCGAGCCACAGTCACTGGTCATTTTCCGGGTTTTCCGTTTGAGTTACAGCCAGAGACGGTCAATGAGTTCCACCCAAGTGCGACAGCTCTATGACTTCCACCCAAGTTCGACAATTCCTTTTTTTGCCGGAGACAGGCAGCTCGAGTCTTGTTTCTGATTTACAATGAGAGATCCCACCTGTCATGACTCGAGAGACAGAAGCGGGTGCAGTGAAAAGGAACTCAAACTGCAGCGGCACCCTATAGCGCACCAGCTCCCATGTTCAAAAGGAGCACGCCCTGCAGCGGCACCTGCACCCAAGCTCCAAAACACACATGGCCATCAACATCTTGCAGCAGCGCCCTGGAGCGGTGCTCTGCAACGGCAGCAGCACCCAAGCTCTTGAAGTAGGAACCCCAATAGCTCTCGCTATCTGGAAAATAGTCTGTTCCAACTTGATCGCCAATGATGACCCGGATTGCGGAGGCTCAATCCTGGAGCTTCCATCTTTGCTGGGATACCAGATCCAAACCCCGAACAAGAGGTCCTGAGAAGGCACTGACCATGAACACAGGGTTTTGAAAAAGCATTGCCCTCTAAGGAATGCGCCCAGCGTGCAGGAGGCGGTGGACGCACTGAAGGCGCCGGTCGCTCTCGCGGCTCGATGCCCACGCAACCAGTTGGCACCGGTTGCCGTCTCAGACGGTTAATGGATGGAGATACACCTCACGATTTTGAAGAACATGCTGAGTGTGGGTCTGAACCGCCGGCCATGTGTGTGTAGATTTCATCTTTGCATGCACCCCCCTGTTGCCCCTGGATGAATCCGTCCCTCTATTCCTCCGGCTCGTCTCCCTCTTTAAAGGCACGACACCCTCCGGGAAAGCTGCAAGTCTGTGGTGTTGAGATCCTCCCGCAGGCGCGGGGGAGCCGGCCGTCACACTGCGCAGGTGCTAATTAGTATGAATCCAATTGGAATGCTATCAACTCGATGGTTGGTTTATCAGTACAGAATCCTGGCATTTTACGGAATACTGCATTTGTTGATAATTCACAACAACAGCAAAATTTGCATTACACATAAGTTAAGAACAACCAGAATCAGAATCAAAATACATAGCAAACTAAACTAGTGAGAGAGACCATTCAATTGGCATCAACATGAATCCATCCCAGTACGCGCTCTACTTTCTAGCTAGTATTAAAACGTCACGAACAATTCACGATGCTTTATTTATGATTCACATCTTTATATCAAACCCCCGAACGAACCGACACGAACGGAGCGCAAGAAAACGCATGGGGTGTTTCTTGATGCGTCATCGACCTTCCGGAAAACCCACCCGGTGAGACGGAGCGGTGGCGTCGTCCTGAGACTGGGCGTCGTGCTTCGTCCCAGGCACAGTCCCTTCATTCCAGTCCTTTCCATGGACCCACTGCCTTCATGGTGGGCAACGAGCGAGGAGGCGGAGACGGTATATACGTGGGCAGGGTACCTGTGGGTTCTTCGCACAGCAAAAAGGATTTGAGTCATGCTTGTATTGTATATCACTTTGATTTGATTCTGTTGATGTTAATCCAGACAGTTGCTGGAATTTTCATTCCCAGACTTTTGTGGTGAGGTCTCACTCGAGAGCAAATTGACCACTGTGACAGTGACCGAGCTTCAGATTGGGAAGGTGGATTGGAAGGAGTGAGAGTGACTTGTGCTAAGGCTGCTAAGTGATGAGGGTGGCTGGATGCAATGGAATCTCTATTGGGTGGGAAACGTCCCACAAGTGTCCGACGAAGCCTTCGATCGACGCGTGCCGAGTCACCTCGTCGGCCTCTCGGGCCGAGCGAGCTCCAGACTTGCGAAACAGAGCGACACATGGAAGTGCAAGAGGATGTTTAAAGCAAAGCGAAGCCGATACTTGGATCTATTTGGGGGTCACCAAAGGCAGCTCACTGTCAGGTTGATTTCCATGTTTTGTGGAAAGGGAAGCAGACTTAGCAGACTTAGCTCTGTAATATATGTGGCCTTTTGGTGGATGTGTTTTTCCATTGGAGCCCTGCAGAGAACCCTCGCGTGCCTTCCCTGGCGACTCGTTGGCTCCGAGGCTTCGTCTACATTCCGCAGTTCGGCGGCGGCGTAGGTCGAGTCGACGAGAGTCGACGACGGACGGTGTCGATGGTCGTCGGTCGGCGGGCTGAGACCGACAGCAAGCGCAGATCGGAAAGTACTTGGCAGAACAGATCAGCCAGATTTCATGATGTAAAGAAGGATGTTGTGTGATCTTCCCGGCCAACCCCAGCACTATGTCGATCTGGGGAACCAGTTCCTCAAGATCGGGTCAGGGTCTTCAACTTGAGGTTCACTCCTTAAGCCAAGCAGCCAGTTCTGTGAGTTCTATTGTTTCTTCAACTGTAACTCATTGTTTTCTTGAAACCAACCCGCGTGGCTGGCATAAGCAGGTGGGCCTGTACAGTCCCAATGGTTGTCAGCGGGGGTTCTTGAAACAAGGCAACAGCAAAAGCTCCCTGAGTTTGGTGTTCAACACATTTCATGACCGAAGCCGTTGCAGCCTTCGCATGCGCATGCGCAGGCTCGCTGAACGTGGCGTGCGCCTGCAGTGTGGCTACTTGGCGATGCTCGGTGCAGCTCCCTCAGGTCCCACAGCTCCCGGACATTCGGAGGTCAACGGGTGATGAGACGCGACAACCCACAGGTTGAGGGGACCCCTTGTTGAATGCTTGGAGCTTTCCTTCAGTGTTGTGAGGTTTGAAACCCCCACAGCCTACACCAAGGTTCTGTACCAGTTCAGCGCCTGGGCCTCTTCCTCCACAAAGGGCTTGGGCTTCCAAGAGGACGAGCGGCTCGGCAGACTTGGACCGGCGGAGAGAATGGGTGGGCGTGAATGAGTGAGGAATGACCATGAGGGAGGATTCGGTGGTGTTTGGCTTCAACCTCGGAGTTGTTTAGGGTTTTGAGTTCTGCTTGAGATCAGAATCAGTTGCAAGCAGCTTTGAACAGTTCAAGCTGGACTTGGAGCTTCATCGACTTTACCCACGCAGCCCCCTGCACCCTTGGCCGCCCCAGAACGGTCTGGCGCACCACGTCTGGGCGCCGCGCCGCACGGCCCTCCAGGCGCCCCGCCATGGCCGTGCCCCACGGCTCCGGCAGCTTCGCGCTGCAAGGGCCGCGGCCCCTGCCGCCGCGGAACGACGGCGGAGGCGATTGGAGCGTAGAGGGCACCATGAGAGGTGGGAAGAGACAGGTGGGAAACGGGAGGTGGGTTGATCTATAGACCGTATACACCTACAATCGGCCGGTCGGCCTTTCCTATTAAAAGCTAAGAAATGGCCTACGCCGTAGTTTGAGATTGGATGCGAACATGTTGACGATAGATCTGTGATCAGCTCATGAGTGTCTTCCTTTGCGACAGAAAAGCTGCATGTCGACGTGAGTATGACATGCCCTCACGGGATTCAGGGAATTTCATGGGCCGCTCACTCTGGAACAGCTGCCGCCGTCCAGGTGAGTCTGCGTTCCGAGTGAAGCGGACGCGGAGTCCGCGAAGTGGAGAGTAGTGATTGGAAAAAGAATGGCGGGACGCCGATGGGGCAGATGGACAGGTTGGTGGTGCTGGAAGCTGGTTGGACTGGTTACTGGTTGGATGGAAAGGTGGCTGGAGAAGTCTGTGGGCCTTGGCAGGTTATTTTTTGTCATGGATGTGGGTTGCCATTGTTTGATATTGTTTGTCATTCCTTTCTTTATGGTGGGGCATGCGGCATGGTGGTTCAGAATGCCTGGTCAAGCCTTTTCAAAGGCTTCCAAGGTCAGGCCCCCATCCGATTCATCCCATTCCCCTCCCTTTGGCTCGAGCTGAACTCTTTGAAACGCCTCATATACAATCTTTTGAAAGAACCTTGGATCATGGCGCAGGCCATTGCCGCTTGGCCAAGCGAACTGGGGAGAAAGCTTGAGATTCGGTACTGAGATCCACATGGTGGCAGCTTGAAAGTCAGGTTTGTCTCAGAAAAAAGTCCAGTGAAGCCCAGATACCCCGCTGGTTTATGTATAATATATAAATGTGGGTGTGTATACAAATGGGAAGACCTCCCAGGCAACAACTCCCTGGTCAAAGGAAAGTAAACTCAAACGCTTTGGTTGGTTGGGTGTTCCTGTGAAACAATACACACAGAGGTTGTGCTCAGAGGTGTTTTGTCTGTGCTTCCGGCCACGTGTTCCCAAATGAGCCGGGCGCGGCGCCGGTGCCCTGTGCTTTCAAAAACACAAACATGGTTTGTTGAGTTCGGTCCAAAAACCAGGAACATACATATGTTTAAACATGATTTCAAGCACATGTTCTTCGTTCTGTCAAAAAACACCCAGGAGCATGTTCTTTTAAAACATCTGTCAAACACAGGAACATGCGATTCATCATTCTTTCCAAAGAGTTGTAACAATTCCGTATCAACTCGCCCATCAGTTCCAGACGTCGAACCCAACCCACCGGTCGCACTGGGTGCGGCCGAAAAAACGCACCAGTCCAGGTGGTGGGTGGCGGCTTGGCAGGGGTTTCTGCGGCCAACACGGTGCTGGAGTGCGGCGGCAAGGTGCGGAAGGGCCGCACCAGGGCTGGTTGGGCGGTTGGGATCGTTCTGATCGAAAAGACCGGATTTGAGGTGATCGAAGAAGCTCGTTTTTTGTTTTTTGCTACTGAACATTTGCACCTGTGTTTTGGAAAGCCTCAAATCGGTGGGTAAAACGCACGAAAACAAGTTGACGGACAGTTCTAGTTCTAGATGAGTCCTGCAACCCCCAGCAAGAGTCTGTGATACAAGCCTGGGTGACCATTCCAAGTTTATCATCATGCAATATCTAGCTTTGTTGATTTGTTGTCAGAGAGGTCTCTCTCTCTCTCTCTCTGTCTGTGTCTGTGTCTGTGTCTGTCTGTCTGTCTGCGTCTGAACGAGGACCAAGCGAGGCAACTGGGTCTTATTCCCATCGGTGTGGAAATGGTTGAAGTCCAGCAGTTTCAAGAATCCGATGAAGTCCAGCCATTTTTTCCCGCACGGTGGTGACTTCTCGGCCAGTACTTTCGGATCAAGCTGGTAGAGCGAAGTGAAGAGTGTAGAGTGGTTGAAGGAAAGGACAAGGACCCAGGACAAGGACAAGCTCAATGCATGTTTTTTCGGGAAGGCAGGTCAAAGAGTTTCTTTTGGAGCTACATGCAAGACTTTGGCGTTTAGCCTCTGACCACTCTAATGCTCAAATGATGAAGCGCCAAGCACTCGATCAGCCCTTCCACCTCTGGAGATTTTGTGGACATCGCTGACACTGGGCCGACATGGTCCTTCCAAGTCGTTTGAGAATTCAGCCATGGGGCTAGAGTTGAAGATAATTGCGCTGTCTGGCGCAGTGGTCGATGAGGTCATAGCTTTGGCAATTCAAAACGCCAGACATTGACATGTCATGTGAGGGAAACGACGGGGCGCGCCAAACGGACCTCAAGGTGTGGGAATTCCAGGCATTTCCATGTTGGTACCTTGAAAGCCAAAGCTTTTCACTTGTTCAAGCTTAGGAGGCCTATCGATTTGCTCACAGTAGGTTGGGAATCTGAAGGAGAGCTCGAAAACGAGGCATACGCACTGTACAGACCGAAGTCGGGTTGGATCAACAAGCCGTGACTAGGTCTCTTGCATCCATTCCTTCACCTGGACAGGTATTATCTACCTCGAACCACGTCATGGTAGTGATCCCCAAACGGCAACTCACTCTCTAGTTGAAATCATCCACCTTCCCGAAAGATCTCTTGGAGTCTCTTGGGATCGCGCGCAGAGCGATCCCACGGCCGTCCGACTCCTTCCGCGGCGACCCGACCTCCTCCGGCCGCTCCGCGTGCGGTTCGGCGTCCGACGTCCTGCCCGTCGCGCGGGGGTTCGAGGCCGGGTGACGGACCGTCTCCCGCGTCGCGGACCCGTGGCGGCTCGTTGTGCCGAGGTGGACCCCGAAACGCTCGAGAGGGCTGGCCTGAGCGTGCTGGCGCTCCGCGTGGCGAGGAAGCTCCGAGTCTCCCCGGGACGATTGAGGCGGTGACACGGAACGTTCTAAGAGACGATGAGGATCCATGAGGTGTTTCTTTGCTTTTTGCATGCGGGGTTGTAAGATTGGAATGCCTAGAATTGAGGCCTGTCCGACTCTCCCCATCATATTTTATAGATTTTGTTAGTTGCCAAAGGCCCTCAAGCCGAAGAACGAGCCCTGCTACCTTTGTTTGAAGGCTTTGCCACGTTGGGCTCAGATAGACCAGAAGGCCACGGATCCCATGTCTCTTCAAAGTCGTGTCTCGGATCGGAGGTTCAACGTCGACGGAGGTTCTTTCACGAGGAGACGGTCCTGAAACTGTGCAACTCTTGGGATGATTTGGGGCGACCGGAGGAGCTGCAGGCCGGGAGCGGTGGGCGATGTGGAAAGGCGGGAGTTCCTGTAGTTGAGATCACCAGGCTGATGGTTTTTTTTGATTGGCGATGAAACTTAGGGGTTATTGAGTTATTGAATGATTTTGATGATGTTGGGAGGATGTTTGAGAGTGAAAACTCAAAACCATCCTTTTGCGGGCTTGGGCCTTGAAGCTCATGCTTTCTTGGTCATGGGTTTTGACTCGTCATCAACTGGCCGAAATTCGAACAGTTGGAGTTTTGCTTGGGAGAACTGCATACCGACCGTTGATGGAAGAACCCGTCAGGAAACCAGGAAAACAGGGAGCATTGTCTGAAAAATTCGATTGCAATCAGCTTCAACCTTAGAAAATCAGCTTCTTCGGTCGCACGGGTCACCATCCACTATTCCTCTTCATGGTGGTCCTTTGGCTCCGCAGTCCACCATGGAGCCGCCTTCTGTGGCAGTCCTAAACCCACCCACCGTCTGCACCAGTTCCAGGCCGAACGATGCTCGAACGATGCGAAGGGTGGACCCATCGGTATCCATCACCTGGGGTACCGATGGGATAGTCGAACTAGGGGTTTTTCAACCGCTGTTGGCAGTTGAACACCTGTAGCAAAATCCAGCCAGTGTCGTCAGGTTGCAGTTGGTCTGGCCACTGCCGGACTTTTAGGCAGCCTGAGTAGAACAACCCTTCTGGGTTCGCGCTTGTTGCCCCATTCGCGCCAGGTGGTGGTTCTGCCCGCCTGCAACGACTTCCAGGAGGAGCTGTTCGCAGCGGTGGACGCCGAAGATCTGCAGCAGGTGTCGATCCTTCTGGACCGTCTCCCGGCCATTGAGGGGGTCCGAAACACGCGAGGTCTCTACCAACCGAGTTGGGCCGAAGGGGTCAGAAGGGGGTCGGTGAGGAAGGCGAAGCGAACAGGGCTCGGTTTGGCAAACTCAATCAGAATTTGATGACAAGCCATGACAAGTCTTCAAAGAGAAGCTGGTCCCTTTCCACTTCGCACTTAAGCTTTGCACCTCCTTCGCTTCTCCAAGGCCTCCAGGACCCGGATGTCCGTGACGAGGCGCACCTCACTCCCTTCATGCGCGCGAGCATCGCCGGGTCGCTGGAGCTCCTCGTGGCGCTCCACGGCGCCGGCTGCGACGTCGAGGCGTCGGCCCCCGACAGCGGCAGCCGCGCGTTGCACCTGGCAGTGTCCAGAGCGCGCTTGGAGACGGTGAAGGGCTTGGTGGCCTTGGAGGTCGACTTGGATGCGCAAGATCATTTGGGCAGGAGGGTCTTGGGGTGTGACAGACTGGGAGAAAGCTGGACAAGAGGTCATGAGGATGGGTTTGGATCCTTTACAACTTTACAAGAGGTTGAGGATGAAAAGTACAGGGTGATTTGAGGGTGAAGATAGAACAGATTTGAAGAGGTGCTTGTACCGAGAGCACCGGTCAGGTGCGGTGGCCACTCCATTGGTGGGGGGGGTTGCTGTCTGCTGGTCCTTAGCTTTCTCCTGGTTACAATACAACCTCTGCATCAAGCTGGCATGTCTTTTCTTAAAGGAAAGTGACTAGCCCACCAGTCATGCACATGACTGTGACAGCAAAACCCTCGTTCGCGAGGACGGCGCTCTTCGAAGCAGTCTATTTGGGCTGCCACGCCGTGGCCCGCGCGCTGCTGGAGAACGCCGCGGACGTCGACCGCGCCGACGCCTCAGGGGTGACGCCCTTGCGCTTGGCTGCGACGAGGGGATGTTTGGAAGCAGTACAGAGACTTGGAGATCGGAGGAAAAGGGAGGATGCAGCAGTCTTGCAAGAGGATGGAGTTGAGGAACACATGTTTGTCTAAGGGTTGGCCCAGCTGCGAGACTTGTTTTCTTGCTAATACTGATAATATGAGTGCATTTTTCATGAAGCCTGGCTAGGTCTAGGTCTAGGTGTTCATTTGGTACAGCTCTACCTGTGAAGAAAAGGTCAGACTAGGTCTACATGTTGCTCAAAACTAATTAGTGAAGATCCTAGTAAACAGCATAGTTTGGAAAGACAACTTGCACTTGCAAGATTACCTGCTTGTGGATCAAATCCTTGATCAAGCCTTGCAGGGGACTGGTCAGCACTTGTGAACATTGACCTACATGGAGGGGATCTCTAACTTGTAAAGCGGTGTCTCTACACGAGCAGGATCCTTGGACACCAGCAGGATATTGTGTTCCCGTTCGAAGGTTCAAGTTTGTGGTTGTGGGTCCTCGGGCGCTGAGGATGCTTGTGGGCTTTGGTGCGGACTTGGAAAAGCTTGGCTTAGATGGCTGCGGGCCACTGCACGTTGCAAGTGGGCACAACCAGCGGGAGGTGGTGGAGCTGCTGTTGGCTCTTCGGGCCAATAAGGAAGCAACAGACTTGGAAGGCGCGAGGGTTGGAAAAAGCTTGCGGTGATTCAACGGGATTTTGCGGGACAAATGTAAAAACACAGGCAGGGGAGAGGTCGAGGGGGGGCTCTGATGTTGTCAAGCACCTGGGAGGTGCATGTTTGTATTTAAGGGATAGATTGGGCAAGTACTGTAAGTAAAAGAACCAATGAGCAGGGATGTGGAGGAAGCAGAGTCTAGGGCGGACATACGGGATCTCATGGTCCTTGCTAATTGGCTTAAAGATGGAAAGACAGAATCTTCTAGGTGGGTGCTCTGTGTGCTTCATGTTCTAAACAGTTTTCCCTTGATGGCCAACAACGCCCGCGAAACGCGAAACCAAACTTTTCAGAATTTGCTGAGGGTTCATTGGGAGGTTCTTTTCTTGAATGCCATGACTTCTCTTCTTGATGTTTCTCCCCTCGATTTTCTCATGCACTGCCAGGTGCCACACCTTTGCACTTGGCGGCACGGCATGGACAGAGCCGAGTCTTGAGCACGTTGCTCGCGGCCAAGGCTCAGCAGCTGGCGGATTTCCATGGCGTCCCTTGGAGTCAAGAGGAGCCTCGAGATGGCCCAAGAAGTGGGAGAAAGGCTGCTGGTTGATGTGTGGATTGGTCCGAAGGAAGAACAAAAACAGACACTGTGGACTGTGGGGGAGATGTTGTTCTCCTCAGTCACGCAGAACACGCCCTTTCCGGACCTCTCGTCACTCACAGGTGACCCCACTGGCAGCTGCAGCGGCAGCTCAGCCGTGGCGACTCAGCCATGCCACGAACAGCGGGCCGGAAGCATGTCTGCAGACGTTCATACAAGGGCACTCAGCAGCCCAGTTGTGCTTGGCAGATGTCTGAAAAATGAGAAGCGGATGAAACATCATGAAGCCACGCCGTTGTGGGCCCAAGGGAGCCAAAAGCGGGGGGTCAAAGCATAGGCACATCGACTCAAAGACCAGTTCACCCAGTTCACCTTGCAGGTACGGTCTTCATCCACATAACCCAAAAATCACAGGGATTCCAAGCTGCCACGAGGACCTTTGCGTCCTCCGCACTGGTGACAGCCTGGGCGCTGTGCGACTCCTCCTCGCCGCGGCGAGGGGCGAGGTGGCGACCGAGGCGCTGGGCGCAGCGGTGCAAGGGGGGAAGCCCGTGAGCTTGGAGGTGCTGAGCAAGCTTTTCGGTTTATTTCAAGGTCCTCCAAGGGAAGGTCAGGTTGGTGCTGCTCATCACATGCCGCATCATGAATTGAGGGAGAAGGAGCTTTCTAAGGCTTTCTAATCATCGTTTTGCTGATTAAGTTCCCCCCAAATGGCACAGGCATTCGTTTGGATTTAGCAGTGGACCCCTCACCAAAGCCCTCTCCATGTCTCAAAGGATTGCTTTCCTGGGTGGTTTGTAAGGCGAACACGGGAGGATCCATAAGCCACCATCTTTTTGGAGAGGCGTGTTGGCCTTACTTGGCCTTACGTCACCTGCGGGTGCTTTTCGATGATGTTTGTTGAGTCCTTTACCAGAATGGCTGGGGGGGCATCCCTTCCCAGCCCGTGTGGTCCACTCTACCCACGACATACTTTCGGATTTTTACCCAAACAGTTTACTGTTAGGGGTTCTCAATTCTTTCTTAAGATGTGTCCGCCCTTTCTGTTGTTGTCCCACCTTTTTGGGGTCTACGGTGGTGTAATTTCTCGGGCAATTTCCCGGCTTCTTTGGATTCCTTGCCAAGGAGATTGTCGCTTTGCTCCTGGAAGAGCTCCCGGAAGCGCTCCCACGCTGCGCCGGCGGTGCCGGGCTCTTGCTCCTGGCGGCCCAGTTCGGACACTCGGAGGAAGAGTTGCGATGGAAGAGGTGGAGTTCACAACGTGGCACTGGATTCAGTGGTTTCGGTGGATTCACTGGCGACATCCCTTTTAGAATATCCACTACAGAATGGATGGCCATGTGGCCAGTATAAATCTGCATTTTAGTTAAGTCCCTGGGAGGGGCTGGGGCCTTTCAATTTGTAGACCTGTGATGTTTAATTCCCGGGGAATGTAAAATAGAGTCTCGGCCACCGGCGTTTTGTATAAGGAAATTTTGTTACATGTTCGAAGCACTCCGGGGAGTGGGCCAGTCATTTTGCAGTGAAGCCATTTGAGTAAAAAACATTTTGTAGTAACCTGATTTTGGTAACATCATGTGAGATTTTGTAAAACTGGTTGGACATGGTTAGAGTTAGACCCATTTGGGCTCAGAGGGCGCAACATGAGATCAAAGGTTATCAAAGAACAAACGAGAATGATAAAACATGAAGGAACAAAAACGTTGCACTACAAAATGCAAAGCCAGGGTTTATTACGAAAGCCAGCCTTCGTAGAAGGCGCTAGCTGAGTTGTGTTTGGCGAACGAAGTGAGTAAGTAGGGGGTCTGGGGGGGTGGCGCGAGAAAGCACTACGTAAACTCGAAATTAGGTGGTGTTTTGGGGGTGCACGGAAGCAAGGTGTTGGAGGTTGTGTTGGAGGTGATTTTTTTGTGATTTTTGCGCGGCTGGTGATGTAAGAAATGCAGTTTTCTTCATTTGCACCATTTGCATGGCAAGGTGTAGTTTTACCGAGGCCGATGTGTTGTAGCTTCGTGCAGGTGTCAATGCATAACCTCTTACACACCTATATAAGATCAAAGCATCAACGAGACCTCAAATCCGTGGATTGCTGCACGTTTCTCCAGGCTATCTAGCGGTTACTGTAACGGAACGGAAATTGAAGTGCTATACCTGGCAACTGAATTGTAGCGGTTGACGGAAAGGGAAATTGAAGTGCTAGACCTGGCAACTG